TGAAATTTAGAGAAGGAAGTGGTCACCCCAACTTGACTCACCCTTTTGTGTGCAATGCAGGGCTAAAGTTTAGAGAGGGAAGTGGCTATGCCAAGTTCACTCACCCTTTTGTGATGCAGGGGTAAATTGCCATTTCAACTTGACTGACCCTTTTGTGGGCCATGCAGGGGTAAAAATTAAAGAAGGATGTTGCCCTTCCAAGTTGACTCACCCTTTGGTGAGCCACCCGAGGGTAAAATTTAGAGAAGGATGTTGCCATTTCAACTTGACTCACGCACTCACTTCTGCCGATTTGATCTTGATACTCACACCCTGCCTCTACACTTTTCGAACAGGAGGCCGATTCTACCACTCGATGTGTCTTACTCCTGTGCATAGATTTCCTGACTTTCGTTTGGCTCTGTATAATTCATTGCATGTTTTTTCCGAGCGCTCGTGGGGGGGAGGCGCTGCGCCCTCCCCCCCAACCCCCCTTCCGCGCAACGAAATCTGCAGATAGTATTCAACGTCCCTGCCATGAAATCAGGCTTTTAGTGGAACCTTGGTAAACCTTGCCCACCAAATCTGCAAATGCTATTCAAAAGTCTTGCGACGAAATCTGACTGTAAGCGGAACCTTGCCTGTTGAACATTAAAGCTGCTGTTATTCTAGACAAAAAGCCAATCAGCCAGGAACCAACAACTTAGTATGACACACAGGAAGATTTGAGCGGAAACTTGACTTTTAAAAACTAAAGCTGCTGCTGCTGTAAAAAAGAGGCCAGAAAGCCAGGAAGAGACAGGAAACGTGATTTAATCCCCCTCCCCCAACCCGCCCCTGTGCCACAAGATTCCTGCCACGAATTTCGACTCTGAGCGGAAACTGCCTGTTAGCCAGGAGGCCAGGCAGGAGGAAAGAGATTAGTATACAGGCCGACGCCCAGCCCAAAGAGGGTTCGTGGTAGAATTTTTTTTGATTAAGTAATTAGTTTTTTATTGATCCCCTTGAATATTTTTTTATTGATGCGATAAATAGTTTTTTTTGATACTTCACCCTCAGTTGACCAGTGAACATGAATGATGAGCAGGACAACCTACTAAGGAGCCTAGGATTTGGGGCCTCTGGGTTTCAGCCGTGTCGTGCTTTGTGGCAGATCGTGTTCCGACCCAGGTTGGCACCAGCATTGTGTGCCCCTGGACTCTCGAGGACCTTGAGTGCCGTCTCAAATCCGTGGGAGCCACCGGTCACCAATTTGATCGGTTTGTGTTGCATGGACGCGCTTGGATGTGAACCTGAAGGATGAACGAGTCCAAATCGGAAGCCCCAAACAGAGCTGCAGAATCAGGTCCACCAGGCATTCTGTGCCTCTTTGATTCATCCGGCGCTGAGCCGGCTCAGAAAAAGAAATCGAACCTATGCAACACGACACCCCATGCCTGACCCAAAACTACTACAGAAGATCTCCAATTGTTCCAGCTCCAAATCATCTCAGACTTGGCACCTCTACCAGGACCGTGTTTGGGAGCGTTTGCTGCGCGCCTTCCGCCAGCACCGGGCTGATGCCGATGGCGACACGAGCACCGGACACCGAGCGCGGAAGTTTTCGTTGGTGGCGGACCTGCCGGCAGCGTGGCTCACGCCTTCCGAGCCTTCAACGGAGCAGTGGGGTCGGGTGGACGGAAAGTGTGTGGCATAGGCGATCGGCGAAGACCTTCCGAAGGCATCGACCAAACAACAAAACGATAGCTAGCCGCTAGCCCGTCACTGCGCGGAAAATGGCGTGCGCGGCTTGAAGGAAGTATCATAGAAAGCAGAAGGTCCCCATTCATTTCTGCATCTTTGTTCTTTCCCTGCACTTCACCGAGAAAGCCGGTAGACCGTAGACCTTGTTCCGTCCAGGACATGCCCGCCCGCCCGGCCTTGCCTTCCGCCCTCAGGACGCGGAGCTGCGCGAGCGGACGCGCGTGCGCAGCCCCAGCTGCAACTCGGAGACCTCGACGAGCGCCTCAGAGGAGGAGGGCGACGCCAGGCGCGGGAGCGACACGACGAGCGATGGGCGGGCGAGGCCCGGGCGGGAGTCCCGATGGGAGGCGGTAAGAGGTGAAGGGAGCTGGGCAAAGGTCGCAGTGGGAGGGGTGTGGCAGCATGGCAGTGGGGGTGATGATGAGTTGTGGACTTCAGAAAGGATCTGGAACTTGGACTCGTTGTGAGTAGGATTGAGTAGGTGACAGCATGGCAAGGCACTCGCTCAAGCCCGGGCATCCAACGTTCTCGGCACAACTTTCAGTCGAAGGTAGGCAATCGACCTCAGTTGTTTGTCCTCCTGACAGCCAACATTTCAACCTTAAGCTGCTGCAGGCTGCGCCTTTCCATGCCAGGACATGGGCAAGCTTTCAATGGTTCTTTGTTGGTCTCCCTGAAATTTGAGGAACTGGTTATGATTGTTGAAATGCAGGGAGGAAGGGGGTGATACCGGCAGACACCAAAAGCTTCCAGTGATGTTCGAAAGAATCCAACCACATGCTGAGAGAAAGAAGTTGTGACTTGAGATTCCTGCGCATATCATCACTGATGCCTCATCCGCGAGTGAGTTTGTTTGGCCACCCCAGCTTTCTGTTCCTCACCCTCGGAAGGAAGGCCCGACTTGCGAGGGGCCTATCACGCGACATCAACCGCATCACCATTCCGCAAAAGGGTTGTTCCATGATCTCAGCATATGAGCCCTCAGAGTTTGGAAAACTAACTCGAATGGTCCGGTTATGACCACCAGTTGCCAGCTGGTGGAGCCGCATGAAGCCACACCAGGATCCTCTGCTGCCGTGGCCAGGGACCACCTACGCCAAGAGGCCGAGAAGGCTCCGGGGCTGAAGAGACGTCGTGGTGAGTTTGGAAGAGACAAGGCCAAAAAGGCCACCGAGTTGTGGTGGTCTGAGAATGAGACGAGCTGATTCAGATGGTAATATTATTCTTTTTGTCTGGAGGATTTCCTGAATAGGGGGTTCATCCATATGAATGGTGCGCATTCTGCAAAGTCATTTTCATGGTCACTCATTCAACGTGAACAATCAACACAAAACACATGGAAAAACACCGTGGAATGCAGGACCCGCCCGCGTGTGTCCGCACTCGCACGCCGTTGCCGCCCCAATTGCGCCTTTTGCTCGGTGCCCGGCCGCTTCTCCTGAGGCACTGTGGTGGGCCATCGGCTCCGCTGAGATCTCCAGCGCTTTGGTGTTTTAGTGTTTGTCGGTTTCGGAGTGCGGGCGGTTTGTTGGACAAGACTGTCACTGGCATGTCATTGAATGTGCGTCGACTTGGGTGTTCTTGTGGTACCTTTTGGCCGCCGGCATGGGGATTTTCGGAGAGGTCCATGGGTCCACAGGGCTGCTGGAGCAGTCCCAAATGTCGCCAGGCGAAGCCTGTCAGGACTTCATTTGCTTGGGGCCGCTTTCGGACAGGGACGGGCTCCAGACCTGTCAGTCGAGTCCAATTTGTTTGTTTTTTATACAATTTTACGCCACTGGTTGAAGGAGGGTGCGTCAGTGGCTAACTGGGTGGCACAAAAAGGTGGCATGACCAGGATACACTCCACGACCCATGACGCATCGGAGTCGGAGTGGGTTTTGTTCTGCCCCCGACCGCGACGTGAGGCGAACACCCTGTGGCCAAGGAGATGCTTGGCGGAAAAAGGGTCGGACGATGTCGGGGGGGATGTGTTTTTTCAATGTCAGCAGATGTCGGCAGAAAATGAAGGAGACCAAGTTGTCAAACTCTCCCAGTCTATCCGAGTGGTGAAAATCCAAGCGCTATTGCCGGGCAACCCGCTATCCCCAGGATGTATAAGCAAGCTACGAGCTGCAAATAGCTTCTTCGCGCTCTTGATGTGTGCCCAAATCCTTGGGTCTTGAAACGTCCGTTGCAGAGCTTGGAGGAACTGTTGGAGGGTAGACGTTTGCTGGTTTAAGCTAGATTGCTGCAGGAAGTTGGAACGAAGATTCTCCCATTTTCCCATGGTTCCCTGTGGTTTTTCTGTCATTGGTCCGTGGTTTTCCTGTTCTTCGCTCCCGTTCGCCGGTCGCTTGCTCGGTTCCCTCTTCGATTCCTGTCGGTGGTCCACGAGACGAGGCTGGTGGAGATCGCTGGGCAGAAAGCGCGCAGCGCCCTGTCCAAGCCCAGCAGCTTCGAGAATATGAGCCTCGAGCGCACTGCGGGATCGGACCCTTCGGGGTGTGGAAGGACCAAAGGTCCTGGGAGGGGTGTGGGAAGTGGTCAAAGCAGTGCTAAAAGGCAGTGCTACCAAGCAGTGCACCGTGGCCTGCAACAGGTCAGACAAGGTTCGTCCGAAGGTGGCGGGCATGTGGCATGCCACAAGATCAGCCCCAACCTTCATTTATCAGGACAAGGAGTGGAGGATGGTGGAGGTTTTGCCGCGCTTACCGTGTAGGTCCATCACAGATCCTGGATGTGACACGAAAGCCAGCATCAGCTAGCTCAAGTTGCCCTGCCTTCCTCACCTGGCCCTGCTAGCTTTCGCCACTCAAGTTGAGGACAGGCGTTGGGCTTCAATGCGTGCTGCCTGGCAATCTTCACGTTCAAGTCGCTTCGGCCCAGCATATCCTGGGCAAAGGTGTCTTGGCAAGTTGCCCAGTGCCAACTGATCTACTAGCAGCTCTTGGGAGGAGGGCGGGGAATTGAGGCCTCATGAATAAACCCATCGATTTTGGTCAGTGTCCATGCTGGATCTCAATCAAGTAGCAACCTTTGGACAGATTCACATCCAGGAGTTCTTTTTTGCATCCGTTGTTACGAAGCAGAAGCTTTGCATCCTTCCAAGGCAGCCCGCAGTCACTGGTGGCTTGGGTAGAGGCCCGGTTGCTGTCGGTGGACTTTCGGATTTGCTTGAAGTTCGATAATCGTCGATAGTGAGAGGGGTGCCTAACCAACACACTGAATTCGTGAGAACACTTCAATGAAGATGGGACCTCTTAGAAGAACGCCGCACGATTTTGGACCAACGTATCCTGGCAGCATGGCAGTAGAGCCTGAAGGCACTCCAGTGCTCCTTACCCCCTTGGCAGCCAACAAGATCCAAGCCATTCAGCTGCTGGCCAATGTGAACTTCGCAGTCTTCAAGGCATGCCTTGACATTTCCATGGAGGCCAACTGGTTGCAGCATGGTCTTGGGGCATGGGTCACCGACAGGATGTGCCAGACCAATGTCCAGCTCTCTGTCGAACTTGGTCGGAAAACGCATCGGGGACCAGGGAATTGAAGCCTTTCTACGGGAGAACTTTTCAAGAGATGGGGGGATGCTGATTGATGGCGAAGCTGGCAAGATCTTGAGGACGAACTGTATGTTTGCCTGGAAGGAGACAGGCAGACACCTCTTTTTGGATCAGCATGGGACAAGACACAGCGCGGCACTGCATCTTGCAGCTTGCAGGCAGTGTGTCGCAATTGTTCGCTCACAAGATGGATATGTGACCCTGTTTTCCTCAGAGCACCTCCAGTCCCCAGGAACAACTCTCGAATGCTTTCGTGTGCTAGTTGGACAGGAGCGAGACCCTTTTGAGATTCTGATGGATAGAACCCCTCTTGCGCGCTTCATGACGGATAAGGCCGGCGCAAAGGCGCTTTGTGTTCCAGAATGTGCCAAGGAAAGCTTGCAGGCGTTGCCAGGGCCGATAAGGGTGTCGGCCTTTGTGACAACGGCCGAATCCAGTCTTAGTCTTAATGGAGCTGACATCGTTTTCACGTCCCTATTTGCAACAGCTGCCGTAAAAGAAGGGATCGACGCAACTGCCATCAAGCACCCGGACGGGGGTCTTTTGCTTGTGCTAGATTGTGAAGGCTTTGACAAATCACAGTTGGTGGGCCTTGCTCAGCTGAATGCTTGTCAAGAGGGGCTTGCAAGCAATGCTCGCTTTGATCGGCGAAATGTGAGGGGCATCGATGTGCCAGACTGTTGCAAAAGCTCAAGCGCAGGCGATGCTATCCACCCTGATGATGTCGTTGGATCGTGGAGTTGTCAAATGAAGAAGAAGAAGAAGAAGAAGAAGAAGAAGAAGAAGTAGAATGTAGAAGAAGAAGAAGAAGAAGAAGAAGAAGAAGAAGAAGAAGAAGAAGTAGTAGTAGTAGTAGTAGTAGGCAGCAGATCCTATGATCTAGTCTGGGCTCGGCATGTGGCTCGGCATGCGGCTATATATTATGGGGCTCGGCTATGGGGCTCGGCATGCGGCTGGGCTTGGCAAAGGTTCGGCAACAACCGCGGTGACTGAGTGTGCTCATGGCTCATTCTGATTTTCTCATCCTGCCAGCGCGAAGAAACTGTGGCCGTGCCGTCTTCCACTGCGTGTCGTGCCAGACGCAGTCCCTCCCAGAAGTCGGCGGAACTGCCGGCGTTCCGCCACCCGCCAGGCGCAGATGTCCTCCGGCGCCACAGTGGTGGCCGTGGCCGTGGAGGAGGTGCCGTTGGCCGCGGTGGCGCTCCGGGACAAACTGGCGCCGTTTGCGCGGACCTGCGTGGCGCAGCTCGAGCTGTCCAACGTGCAGGCGCGCAGGGGGGGTATGGCATTGGGGTGGCTCGGGAGAGTGATGAAGAGGTGCCCGAAATACCCAGTCAGGTGGCTTGAGGCTTTGTGTTTTTGTTGGGCACCTTTGTAATTCGGTGTCCGATTCTGACGTCTTTCTGTGGATCTGGTGGGAGACGCCAACAGCTAGCGCTGGATGCCAAGCAGGTCTGGATGTGCACGGGAGATCACCGTGTCGCAGCGGAAGCCGTTGCCAGAGAGTGTGGCATCGACGCTGGGCGGGTTGCTACTTGGAGCGAGGACACCCCCATCTCTCTGTGAGTGCTGTTGTTCATATTAGTCTCAATCTTGGCGTTTTTTTCAAAAACAACACTGCAGTTTTCTGAGCACCAGAACTTGGGGCAGTCAAACAGGCCCGGTTCCCTGTCCTGTGGGTTGGTGCATTCATCCGTTTTGAGTGGGGTGAGTCCACAGGAACAGGAGCAGCACAACACTACGAGGATTCTTTGGTTGACACGCCGCCACACTTACACACTTTCTTTTGGAGAGAGAGAGAGAGAGTGCACGCAGCGGTGAGCCGCCGCTCCGTGTGCAGAGCACTTTCGGTGCTGCTCTCGACTCTACACGGTGGTTGCCCCAAAAACAGGTTCCGGGCCGTTTCAAGTTCGACTTCGGAGCGGCACCCGGCAGCCAAGGTGGCACAAGCACTGCCAGCGGACAAGGTGAAGTTGGTGAAAACCTTGCAGGAGAAGTGCTACCTCCCAGGAGCGTGGGGAGTTCCAATAGATTTTGTTTGGGCTTTAGCGGCTTTCAAACCAGGCAGTCCATGGTGTGAGGGCATCAGGCATGTGATGTTTCCATTCTTTGTCGACCTGCGCGCGTGATCATCTCTCAGGGTGGCGGCATCTTTTGTATATTTTCTATTTTTTGGCACGGTGACATGCTGCAACTCCGATGCCTTCAGGAGAAAAGGAGACCCGAAACATTGTCGCGATGGTGGGAGATGGCTCCTTGAATTGCTTCAGTTCAGCGTTCTTTTTCTGATGCTTTGTCCTGGGCTATTATTGGCAGACCGGACGCAAAGACAGTGATTTTTCACTAGAACTAGGATGGCTCAGTCCGATTGCCCCAACTTTTCTTTGCCCCCGCGCCTCAAGCCTCTTAGCAAGTTTTTCCTCCTCGAGGTCCTCAAGGCTTCAGGGTTTCAATTCCTTGAAGCTGTTCCCATTTGTCCCTTTGTTTGCCTTCTAGGCTTAAACATGCAGTACCAACTCCGGATTGCTTTCAAGTCACCTACCATGTCACCTTTTTGTGCAGCGGTTGCAAAGAAGATGTAGGCCTACTACAATTCCCAGAAGGTTGGCAGTTCATCAAGCACCCCCATCTGTCATTCCTCTGTGGGTACCATCCTCAAACCACTGTAATGTTCCCAAAAGCGCGGCCCGGCGGATCGGTGCAGCAGTTTTGGAGTTCCGGTGAAGAGGGCCATGCCAAAATGGTTGTTTGAGGCGTCTCTACAGGGAAGAGCCCCGTATTATCACAGTGTTTCATGAGGCTTCGTAACATAAAACCACAGACCAGCAGTCACAACACGGGGTGCCGAACGAACGGAGGAAGTCGGGGTGCCCCTGTCACATCCACTCACTGGGGACTAAAAACCCACCCCGTTTTGTGACTCTTGGAGTATACTGCTAACTCAGGAAATGATACTAGTTGAGTTTGAGTTATGAGCCCGACCGTAGCAGTTGGCTTCGTAACACAAAACCCTATTAATATTTATATATATATATTATATAAATTCATCAGATTCACATGACTTTGCTACACCTCCCACTCACCTTCCTAGCGTGAGGAATCAACGATGCTCCCGCCCTGGCGGCCGCAGATGTGGGTGTAGCCATCGGAGCTGGACAAAACGCCGCTGGACCGAATGGGTTTTGAAGGGGCATGGTGGGTGCAGGGGTTGAAGGGTGGTAGGCGTGTTGTTCTCGGGGCATGGTAGGTGTTGAAGGGACGTGGTGGGTACCCAGAAGAAGTTTTTTGAAATTTGTGGACTCTCAGATTTATGTGCAGCTGGTCTGGTAGCAGGGCTCAAGCACAGCCAACAGGAGGCAGGGCACACACTTGAGGGGTAGATAACATTCGACTTTCTATTTGTTGATTACAGGTACCTGGACCTAGCACCAGGATGTTACAAGAACCCCGCAAGAATAGAGGCATGTTCACCATCTTTCAGGTGTAGAGAGATGTTCACTCACCATCTTTCCAGAGATGGGTTTTCCAGATGAACCTCCTGGCGGCCAAGTCTTTTTCATCATGATCTGCTTGCATGTTCGACTCGGCCCCCCCACCCAAGTACTGTATACGTTCGACTGGCAGGCAACACAGCAGACAGCTGGTTCGCTGCAGGAGGACCAGCTGTTCGATGGTCCTTTTAAAACCACCTCCACTGGACGAATGACCATGAATGGTCTGTTTTGGAGGAGCATGCTGAATGGATTCCCTCAGGTCGTTTGCCGGTGCCACGTGGCACCGCGCACTAACGTGGGCACGTGCGAGATCCGTCAGGTGACGGTGGAAGCTGCAGATCTGGTGCTGGTGCGGAGCGATCTTCGAGATTTGCTTGCGAGCCGGCATTGGTTTCAAGAGTCTTATCATTGGGGGATGGTGATGGTGAGTTGTGTAAACTCCTACATGACCATGAGTTTCTCCTAAGCTCCATGGTGGGGTCTCCTTCACTCATGTGCCATTACGTTTCTAGTCTTGCGATGACCTGCTGTTGCCTGTTGCAGGAGCAAGCATGGCCCGAGCATGGCACCAAATGCCATTCCAAATTTGCAACGCTGGGTGCATCTCACGCCATTTGAATCCATTTTGTAGCTGGAAAAGGTACCTCAGGGTTTTTGAGAGGAGATTGTCAGGGACTACAGTACATTGCAATAGTTGAACAACATTGGAGACGCACGCGCACACGCACATGTATGTTCATGCACACATACATACACACCATTATATACCCAACAGATCCAAAGACCCAGTAAAGCCCGATCCTTGACCTAATTCAGTATAGTGCTTTTGTATGATCGCCGATCACCTCCACTTCAATACGGTCAAACTGGCCTGGATACCAGAAGCTTGGATACCAGGTGGGCTCGGCTCAGAAGCTTCAAGGACGCCAGTCTTCCTCTTCTTTCCGTCGGTGCTCCCCCAACCAGAGGGACTCCGTCGTGTCACGCGGTGGCCCACGGCGTGACCTCGGCGGTGACCTCCACCGAGGCCTTCTTCGCCCTCGCCAAGGAGACGCTGCGGACGATCTGGTTCAACTTCTTGCGGCTCGGACACGGCGGATGCGGATGCGCGGGCGGAACGGACTTGTGGACACCGGTGGTTCGGGGTTCCGGAGGTTTGGAGTTTGATTGGAGGAGCGGCTTGGGACGGATGGAGGGTTGGATTGGTTCTTGGGAAATTCTGGGTTGTGGTCATGTCCCATCCCTTCCCCAACATGCACGCCTGATCCGCACCGGAACACCGGAACCCGCGCGCATCTTCCGGCGTCGTCGAGGTGGGCCTTTCTCTTCAACACCTGTGCACTGCCGTTGGCCGCGGGCATGTTTTGGCGCTATGGGGTGTGCCTCGCCTCATCATGCGTCGCGTGACACAGGGCGATGGTCTGAAATCAGACCCCAGCGAGGACGCGAGGCTTATCAATCCAAATACGGCACGTCGCGGCTCATTGGGGGTATCAATGGTTTCAAAAGCACACTGGCTCGAGGGCGGAAGCTGCGTGGTGCTTCGAAATTCTGACATTGATATGTGTAGTTATATGTTATATGTACATATTACTACATGTATCTGCGATATATATATATATAAATTGGAATGTCATGTCTTGAGCTGCTCTCCGCTCTCCGGGTTCGCCTTCCGGGGGGGTCTAGAGCTGCTTGTCTGAGGCTCATCAACCCGCAGATCGCCTGCACCCTCATGCTGGGCTCGTCCCTCTTCGTCGCCACTTGGCAAAACATCCCTTTGTCCGTCGCGGTTTCGGAACCCGCGCGTCGGATCCGGCATCGAATTGCGCTCATGGTGAACGAGGGACACTTCATATGGAGTGCATGCATCATGCATCGGTTGAGCGGAACTCATCGGAACTCAATCGGTTTTCCGATGAACCAACTAGTCCGATCTGATTCGGATCTGATTCGGTGTGCTGAAGTGCCCGAGGTCTTCAGCTCCTTGCTGTTGAAGCGCTTTGTCCCACCGCCTCTGGACTCGCCGCCGGTGTGAGCGCGAGGCAAAGTCCACGCATCAGAAGCTCTGGCTGTGAGTAGTTGTGCGGCACAGGGCTCATGGCTGAACATCCTTTCGTGGTGGAATTCCAAGCAAGGGTACAAGACCTTTGCTGAAGCTGTAGAGCAAGCACACCGCTGGGTAGCCGGCTGAACTTCAGAACTCCGAAAGCTTCATATCCTTTGCTTCCAGGCCACTCCGCCAGACACGCCCGCTGCCCGGCAGGTGTCGGACTCGACGCCCGAGTCGTCGTTTTTGAGCTGTCCTTGATCTTGATGACATTGCCAGCGGCTCGAGCGCGAGCGGAAAAGGGCACCAGCGGATCGTTCTCTGTAGGTATATAAGTGTGTGCGTGTGTGCGCGTGTGTGCGTGTGTGTCAAGCAGTGGCTGGTGGCAGGGTGATGGTAGATGAAACAGACGACTTCCGGCAGGGTGATGGTAGATGAAACAGACGACTTCCGGACTTTCACAAGTTCTGACTCGCTTTGAGGCTTCCTTCCAGTTGGCTCCAATTATAACCGAATAGTTGCATCTATCCAGCTGTTGCATTGGAGCCCTTGCCTTCCTAGGTCCTCAGACTGATGGTGAACAGCGGCGGCTGTTTCCTGGCCGAATGGCGTGGTGACGTGTTGTGGGGTTTCCAGACCCGACGGCATGGCTGAACTGGACGATCCTGCCCGTTTCATCCTTGGTGGTTCTCAAGGCGGGCAAGACTTGAAAGGAACATCCTCATGACGGATATGGATTTTCAAAGCAGGTGGTTCTCTGACTTGGTTAAAAACTATGGTCCCAGGATTTTCATTTTTTCGACTTGATCGTGTGACTATGTCATGCCCCACATCTCACGGGTTCTCAATCTTCTGTGGTTTCTTTGTCCAATCATTCCACATTTTATATCTTACATTCAATCCATTGCTCTCAGCCAACTCCTTAACCTCAAGATAGAGAGGGGGAGGGGAGGGGAGAAAGAGAAGGGTTATCGTGGGTGTGTATGCAAGACGGGGGCACCCGATTCGCAACTGATTCGCTTAGAACCTCTTTCTTTGGCCCCACACCTGCTAAGGTGATATATTTGTGAAGAGGAGGTAGGGCTTGGGCAAAGCTCTGTCCAAGCTAGGCTCGGGAGTCTCCCACCACCAAGGCTCTGGCTATTCCTATGAGTTCAGCGGCTCGGCGTTCAATGAACCGAAGCGTTGGTCCAGAGACCACGGGGTCCGGCTCTGAAGGAGGAAATGATCTGTGTGGTCTGACTGTCTTTACATGTCGATGTAGACTCTTGATTGAACAACCTTTTCTTTTGGATTGGAACATCCTCTCCATAGGGGGGGTGACTCTTACTTAAGAGTTCAAACGTGCTTGTTTGCTTTTGCGCGGAGGACTGGAACCAGGCCTCCTGACTGCGATTAGAAGACCAGACATGACCAGACCGTGAGGGCGATTGGGGTCGCGTCAGCGACGGAGGGCGACGAAGTGACGGGATACAGTTGAGTTTTGTTGCATTTTTTTCCGAAACGTCAGCTGGCCACAGCGACCAGCGACGGGCGCGAAGGGACCTCAACGGAGCAACGTGGAACTTTGAAAAGAGTGACATTGACGATATCATGAGCTCTCTTTGCATTGCACGTGATTATACACTATTATATATATATATACATATAATATATATATATATATTATATAAACTATTATATATATACAATATTGTACACTATTATCCATTGACATCTACGGGACACACGTGCCGCACACAAAAGACACACGGATTGAACCGAAAACGATCCAGGAGGTCAGACCAGTCCAGTGTGGCCGTGTGGCCGTGTGGCTGTGTGGCCGGTGGGATCCCAGGATGATGTCAGGAGTCACGTTCGACGGGGGTGGTGTGGCTCGTCCCATCCAGGGGCCGTGGATGTGACAGGGGCACCCCGACTTCCTCCGTTCGTTCGGCACCCCGTCGAACGTGACTGCTGGAGCCGCGGTGGTCAGGTGAAATGGAGCCGAAGGAGGATGACATTGTCATTCAGCAGGCCAGCAGCGGAAGGAGCTTGGAGCTGTTGGAACCCCAACTGGCACGCACCGAGTAGGTGGCGTCGGTGGCGTTGGCTTGCTTGGCCAAGAAGGGAGGTTGAGCCAAAGACATGGTGACATCGCCCAAGACATTGAAACTTCAGGCACCTCAGACACCAAATGGTTTGGCATCACTCTCGTGAGGCCTAAAGGCCTAAATCCGGCTCAGTCCAGGCGGTTTTCCTTTTTTGGTTCGCTATCGATGGGTCAGATCCACAGGAAGGTGCTCGCCTGATCGTGGATGAGCTGTCGATGACGTTCCTGGAAGATTGTGAAATCGACTACACCGAGGAGCGGGGGATGGGCTTTTGGAGGGGCTCCCCCTGAGTGTGCTAAGTGATGCTAAGTGTATGAGAGTGGATGTTGGCCCTGGGCCTTGGGGTTGCCCCTGGCCATGGCCAAGATTGGCCAACAGATTTTCGTTGTTTTCATTCTCTACGGTCTCACCACGAACTGGAGAGAGTCTTCCAAAGTCTTCCGGGCCTATCTCTCGCCATGCCGACTCGGCAGGAGATGATCAGGGCCTCCTTTTCCGTGGTGAAGAACAAGCTGGCCGACTCGAAATGCGGCTGCGGCAGCTCCTTCAGTGCCTTGGTCGGTCGCAGGTGGTCGCCTGGGTCGGTTGCAGTCGAAAGGGGTCGCTGTGGCGGAGGTGTGTCACTCGTCCCATGCGCGGCCAACGGCTCGTGGAGGCCGCCACGCGCAACGCGCCGTGCCCAGGTGTCGCCTCGTTCTGAGCGCAGTTTTCAAGGGCGCCTGGCCTCTTCACTCTCGGCCATGGAAGAGTGGCAAGCGGAACCCAGCAGCGATTTATGGAATGAATCTGTTGGATGGAAGCAGGTGAAGTGTAGTTCATGGCGTGTCCCTCTTCAGGGCCGACGGTCAGGAATTTGGGTGTAGAACGACGAGGCTCTCGTGCCAGACGTGGAAACAGCCCACGTTTTGGGCTTTGGGCGGGGTGTGATGTACAGAAATCCCAGCGCCAAGTGATGGGCAGGATGGGTCAGGATGGTCCAGCATGGCGGAATCGCAGGATACTTGCACTGTACTTGTGGGACAAAATGCTACCAGCCAGCATGAAGATAGGCCCTATTTTCCAGGGCCTCCAGGGCTTTTCTGCAACACATTCGACATCGTGAGTGGTAAGGTCTCCGATGCAAGGACGCAACTGTTCCAGTCCTGGAACCCAGTTTGTGTAGTTGAAGGACGAACTTCTGCATCAAAACAACTCCAATGCTTATGAGGAAAGGATGGCTCCTAGATCGACGGACGGTGCAGGAGAACTCGTTGAGGAGACGGCGTGCCGCACGCGTTTCACTCGGGGGGCGGCTGAGACGGCTGAGACAGCCCTTGTGGCAAGGTGCTTGTGCATGCTTGTGCATGCTGAGTATCAAGGCTTTTAACCGCTTGGTGTACCAAGGCATTCAGACCACGCCAAGTTTCCATTTCGCATCAATGAAGCTTCATTGCTTGCACCTGACCTGCTTTCATGCCAAACAATACTTCTTGGTCAGCCATTGGTTGAACACGAGTCGCTGGCAGCCTAGTTGGGGCTGCCCATCTGCATGGGTCAGTCTCTGCCTTCGCTCCCGGTGAAGAAACATAGACTGCGCAAGTGGAGATGAGACAGAACTTTTTTTGTCCTTGGGGTCACCTTTGAAAGAGCGCTTCGCCAGGTTTCCCCTGGAATTGGAGACCTAGGGTGGATGAAACTCTAGGTAGGCTTGGCAGCTTGACCAAGCTGAGGAACCAAGGGTTTGACCATCTTCCAGAAGTCTGGAAGTAGCCACAGGCAGAGCTGCCTGTGATGAGACACATGTTTCGGGGGGCCGAGAAGAAGACAGAACTCACATGTAGATGCAGTATGATGAAGCTAGAGGCCCATGGGATGGATTAAGGGCTTGAAGCTAGAGGCACATCCCTGAGGCACATCGGTGACCCCTTCTTCACCTCATCATCTCTTGCAGCAGCAGACCCGGTTCGGACCTCATGCCGAAAAAGGAGGAGCGTGCCACGCGGCCCCGACGTCCCACCTCGGACCGCGGTGCAAGGCATTTCGATACGATGAACCGATCGAAAACGTCAGAGGCTGCCAAGCACCGCGTCGGTCAGAGGCTCTGAGCACTTGGAAGGTGTTTGGAGGCGTTACGGCATTTGCTCCGTGTTTCGTTGACCAAACACCTCTGCCGTTTGGGGCTTCCAAAAGCCGCTCCGCGACGCTCCGCGTACTCCGTACTCCGCCCACGTCCAAGAGAAACAACCCCACGGTCTCGACACAGCTGAACACATGGCGCGCTTTGCTTCGGTGCTCTTGGCACTCCTGGGCAGCGTGAGCGCAGTGGAGCTCACGAAGGACTCACGAAGGGGCGGAAGTCCGAGCTGTGCGCCGCTTGGAGGTTTGAGACACTTCCCCACAAAGAAAGAGTCGCAGACGTGGCAGATGCTATGAGTCAACTCAAGATTTTCAGGCCCTGGCTACTAGGTTGGAGGCCATCGCTATTAGAAGAAAGGTCTAACATGGTCTAACGTAGTTTGCTATTAGCTTGGAGGCACCGGTGCACCGGCTCAAGGCACTGCCTGCGACCTCGAACCGCGCCTTCCACCCGCGCCCCGGTGGGTTACGCGAGCCGTAGAAAGACAGACCCCGCCGGTCGCCATGGGAAAGACGCGCGTCATCTCCAAGGGATACCGGCATGGCACACGCGACACCTGGCTTTTGGCGGTGATCGGATGGTACCATTCTTGATTTTTGGATCCTTCCTGAAGTGAATTCCCCCCTTGTCCCATGCCAGGTTTTTTGAGATTTGTCCGGCACCGGCCGCCAATCCCAGGACAAGTATTCCAAGAAGTACCGCACCAAGGGCAGACCCGGACTGGCCAGGTACTTGGTGAACTTCAAGCGGGGTGACTACGTGGACATTGTCGCGGACCCCTCGATCCAGAAGGGATTGCCCTACTCCTTCTACCACGGGCGGACGGGCATCGTCTTCAACGTGAACCGCAACGCCCTTGGGGTGGAAATGACCAAGATTGTGGGCAACCGCCAGCTGCGCAAGCGCATCCACGTGCGCATCGAGCATGTGCGCAAGTCGCGGTGTAACGAGTCCTTCTTGCACCGAGTGAAGGAGAATGACAAGAAGAACCTAGGTTTTGCATGGTTTTGCTTAAGGTGATGTTCTGTTTTCCATTATTTTCACTATGTTTTTCTTTCCGCCTTCTGGGGAATGGTTTTTGTTTTTTGTTTCCCCGACTCCTTATATAAGCAAATCCAAGGAAGCAGCAGGCCAAGAAAGAGGGCAAGAGCATTGTTTGCAAGCGCATCCCTGAAGGGCCCAAGGAGATGAAGACCGTGACGGCCTCTCAGGATGATGTCGAGGTGCTTGCACCTCTGCCCTTTGTGGAGAACTACTTCTAAAGAGCACCATGCCAGGCGAAGATTCAAGTGCTAGTGCAACTAGTGCGAGGGGCGGTTCAGAGCAGGCAAAAAAGTGGCGAGTTGCAGCAACAACTTTTCGCTTGAAGATCCTCTCAAGATTGTGCCAGACCAAAGCTTGGAACTGCCTCAGAGGGTCTCAGCAAACGCTTGCATCCCGCTGCAGGAATCTTGGGATGAGAAGACGAGCGGCAAGAGCGCTTCTCGGTTGGTTCTTGTTGCCCGGGGCATGTTTGCTTTCGGGCATGGGTGACCAGGAAAGAGTCTCCAAGGTGCAAATTGATCGTCTTGGGGGGGCTGGAAGGGGCATCACCTCTTTCTGGGCTCCAGTTTTCCTTTCGGGCATGTCCCCAATTCTTTCCTCAATTGGGCTCACCTATGCTAACCTTTCCTCCATTGGACTATTTTGGCCAACTGGCCGTGTTCTTCCGCCCCGAACGGACCGCCTGGGCCGGACCGGGTCCGTCGCGCCGGACCGCGCGGTTCGTCCGGAAGTCCGGGACCGAGGAGCGACCGGGGACGACGGAGCCCGGAGTCCGTCTCTCAAAGGAAGACAGACCGCCCGGGGGATCGCCCAGGGGTCGCCCGTTTCGGCGGTACACAGAACCCGCGCGGGGTTTGTGTGAGGTTTTCTGCTTGGCCCTTGGCATCTCTGCATCTCACCACTCGGCTTGAGGTTTTTGTGAAGTTCTATGCCCCCTGGTGCGGTCACTGCAAGGCGGGGATTGGTTCTGTTTTTGAGGGTTGGTATGGTATGAGGACAGAAATTCCTTCAGCACGGGTTCCTCCCAATTCTTTTCTGTGAGGACTTGTCTCTGACCTCAGCCTCTGACAAGTTGATCATGTGACCCGTGAGAGGCCATGAAGCCTGCCTGGGACAAGCTCATGAAGCAGTACGACGGACATGCCTCCATCGTGGTGGCAGACGTGGCACCTCGGAGCGTGGCGGAGCGTGGCGGACGTGGACCGCGGGTGAAGGCAAAGGCGCATGCCTTTTTAGGTAGCAACGACGGGCGTTGTTGGTTGGAGACAGACATGTGTCCACGGCAAGTTTGGTCCTCCTGGACTCCTGGATGGGTTCAGATGTGGTTTTTGAAGGATGCTTGCATCGAACAGCTGGGAAGATGGTGAAGGAACACTCGCAGACAGGCATTCCACCGCAACGGGCCCCTTGACCGACCTCACTTCCAAACGCTGACCTCCTTGTACATTGGAAACTGACCTTGTATAGGTTGTATCCTCCAGACATGGAAGCTGAGCAGGTCCAGACATGGAAGAGGAAGATGGTCTTGCAGGGGGGACGAACCGTTCCACTTCCACAAGTGTATCGCTACTAGTAACAAGTGCATTCCTACTATAGCAGCAAGAAGATATATATACAACGAGCTATGTACTACTAGTAGCAATGCCAGGAGCTACAAGTAGCTTCTTGTTACTAGATGTTACTAGTAGTATGGTGCCTTGCTACTAGTTTTTGTGCTACTAGTAGTAATGCACTTGTTACTACGATTCATTGGGGCCGAACCGTCGCAGTCCCTCAACCCTCCACACAGTTCGCCATGTCCCTCCCCGGGCGGCCCGTGCGGCCCATGACCTGAGGACTGCATTGGGGAAGGCAAGAGCATGTGCCCGGGCTCCTGGTCGGGTCGGGTGTCAGTCCGGTGCCCGGGCTCCTGACCGTTTTTTCGTGTGCGGTTCTGAAACAAAGGGAGTTGAATGGTTTCCATGGTGTATCATGATGTGTCATGTGTATCCTCTCTCTCTCTCTCTCTCTGTGCATCTTTACTTGGGAGCAGTGGCATATAAAGACCACCCCGCCCACCCTCGGCTGTTTTGAGCTGTTCCTTCTTCGACGCCGAATCGGACGCTCAGGCGATGATGTGGGAGTGGAAGGCTTTCCCACGATCAAGTTCGGGGACCCTGCCAATCTGGAGGCCCCGCCCATGGCTCTTCGGCTCCTTCGCCTTGCCTTCGCGTTGCTTGCGCGCCATTGGTTGCCAGCGCGCTAGGGGTTTTGGCGCGCGGCCTTTGTTTTCCAGGGAAAACACCAACAAACTCGAGGATCTACTAGGGCTGCTAGGGTTCTCAATCCGATGCCTGCAGCTTCATTGAGTTCGCGACCGTGAGGACTACGAGGGCGAGCGCGAATTCGATGACTTGGTCAAGTTTGCCAAGGAGAACCTAGGACCCAGGCAGGCGACGACATGACGAAAAACCAACAGGTCTATGGATGTCTGTGGAGGTTGTTTGACAAGTCGAACAGCCCTACATACCTGGATCTTCCAACTAAGCAACATGTCCGCCTTGTCAGCCAAAAAGACCTCAAATGCAGACATTTTGCAAAGCTAGAAGATCCAGATAGAACCCCCCCCCCCAGAGTCCAACCTGAACCAAAATAGTAGGTCCATGTGTGCATCGTAGAAACGGCCCCATAGGCATCGGTCAATCGGGACCGATAGGACCGATAGAAAGAAACCTACCTGGATTATCCTGGGGTACCAGTAGACTTATACGTAAAACAGCTACATGTGGGCCGACCGTGTCAGGCGTCCATCAGGATGATTCCTAGTTGGGGGTGTCCCATTACCGATGGAAAGGCCTTCAACCTAATTATATCCATACCGTCCATGCCAACATAACCATCTTCCACTGGGCCCAGGGAAGGAGAGACCCCAATCTCCAGACCACTGCGGGTCCCTTCTGCCTCGGCGGCGGCTCTCGCCAGATGCGGCCCGGCGAACCTGGACTTGTGCGACGCAGCGCCTTGGGTGAAGGCGAAAGGCGAAAGGCGAAGGCTTCGGAGGTGGTCGAAGGTGGTCGACCGGAGGCCAGAACACGAGACCGGAGGCATTGGGATTGATTGGGTCTCCTTTGTTGGTCTTTCGATGTTTCTTTTCGGAGTTGTGGGATGTGCGAGTTGGGCTATAATTACTAATATGTATATATGTTTTACTTATTCTTTTTGCAGCCATCTCCCAAGGCATTTTGTGGAAAGACGGGGGCGAACAAAAAGAGACATAATTAATCCGAGATACAAGGACCGGAGGTTGCCGCCTGCATGTGGATCAGACCGTTTGAAAACGTGCTGCCTTGCCCGAACGGAAACACCGCGAAGCCAACAAGCAATCTCGGCTGCTGTGTGAAAGAAGTTGGACTTTTGGGAAGCCGAGAGGCAGTGCCCCAAAAGCCCATGCCTTAGAGAGGCACATGCGACCAGAAAAAGATCACTTCTTAGTCGCTGAGGACAAGAAGAAGAAGATCGAGGAGTACATGAACATGCCTGCGGCCAGTCTCAAGAAGGTTGGCTCCGCTCATGGACGGACGACTTGACGGGATGGTCCGGCAACGTGCGACGTTGATGGCTCATGATCGCCCACAGGGCTGGGCCAGACACAGACACATTTATATATACCCATACTGAGGTTTCATGATGTTCGATGTGGTGTGGTTAGTCTGTACGTGCCTTTGCTCATGACTCTTCCTCATCTATGCAGACTAGGTCCTAGGTGTCTATAGCTCCATTGCATGGTCGCCGGCGCCGAGTGTTTTGTTTTTTTGTCCTCCTCTTGGCCGACTCCAGGAGATTGATGCCCAGGACGAGGAGATCGCGGCTGCCACCAAGAAGCATGAGGAGTTTGTGGAAACTCTGCAGAAGCAGTACGAGGAGTGGAATGTGGAGTAGCAACAGACGTCAGAGATGCAGTCAGGGGTTGTGAAGTTGGTGGAGTAGCCACAGATAGCTGCAAGGGTTTGAGATGAAGTCAGAGAACTCCATCCTCACCACTTTGGGCGCATGGACATCGGAGGGCGAGTCTGGCGATCGGAGCCGAAGGCCAAGAAACACCGCTACTGGAGTCACTCTGAAAGACTTTCAACTGCCAGGAGTCCCATCCAGTGGATGTGACAGGGGCAACCGCACGTCGACTCCGAACTCTGAACGGTCTTGGGCTCCGGTCCCGCTAAAGGAAGTCCACAGTCGGACTCCCCCCGACGGTTGTTGGACCTGAAGGGGACCGATCATACAAGACCGATCGATCGAAGCAGCGTCTCCGAATGCGGGCGGGCGCAGTAGCGTGGGCAGGGTGGAAAGTCCTGTCTGGATTTGTCCGCGCGGGTGGCCAGGAGTCAGAGAAGGCCATGTCAGAGAAGAAGAAGGAAATCAAGGCACGACAGTTCTTGAGATTGTAGACGAATGCTTTGGAAAGATCGTTCTTTTTTTGGGGGGCTGAGGGCCAAGTTGAAGGACTTTGTCGACTAAAAGGCTTTAATAGCCTGCTAGGACAGTCTTGGCAGCTAGGACTTGGGGCCCAGAGGGTTCCAGCTTCTTAGAAGGGTAGCCCCTTAGCTGTGATTCGGGGTGTCCATTAACCACCCCTTTTTCAGGCCCTGGTTAGAAGGGTAGTCTCTTGCAACCTGGTAGAAGATGGGCTCAGGGCCCGAAAGTTTTTGGGGGGAAACATGCCCTCCTCCACCGACCCAGGTGAAAACGGGATGCCCCACGAAAAACCACTGAACACCAGCTGACCGCCTGTTGAGGAGGGTGGCTTGGGCCTGATGAAGGCGGTGAAGGCCTATCGCAAGTCGGCCACTGGGCTGCAGCCGCGACCGGTGGAGGAGGTGCGAGTGGAGGAGGGTGACTTCGCAATGGGGTGACGCGGTGACGAGGCCTTTAAACTTGGGATGAGGTTCTCTGGGGCGGACTGGTTGGCCAAAGTTTTTGGAGAGTTGAGGCGAGGATCCTGACTTGTAGATATGAGATGATATGAGAGACAGTTGTCATGCTCAATGCTCGGTGCCCCAGCACCATGTATGCAAGATATGGACGAGGCCAAATGTTCTTTGCGCCCACGAGGTTCAGTATGCTATAGGACTAGATGACATGGGATTTGAAGAGCATAGACTGCATAATTCACATATTTCCAAGTCATCTCCCTTTAAAAACTCCTATGCGATCTCAACCCAGGAGGGATTTTCGGTTTTGCTCTCGTGAAGTGGATTTGGGTGATCAACTCTCAAAACATTCTGTTCATGTTTGGCTCCTTGAAGACCACCGGCCCAGGTCAAGAAAGAAGAGCTCTGAGTGGCTTTCGGATGTCTTTTGCTCGGTTTCAGGGGTGAGATGTTGCAGATCTCATAGTTTTGATGCCCCACTCTCCGATGGGGGTTAGCTGCCTGCCCGGCCACCAGTTCCGGCTGCTACCTGCTACCTCTGGAGGATGCAATGCTCCAGAGGTTGCACTGCGTGTGGAAAACACGCTTGCATGGGTGAATATCATACCTTTCTTATCATCCTTTCTGCTGGTCGTTCCTAGCACACCACTCCAGGCTTTTACTCCAAGGCTTTGGTTCACGGCCTCCAGAGAAAACCCACGTCCGAGTCCACATGCCGAAGACATGAAGACAAGATATGTTGTTGCCTGTTGTTGCGAAATTCCGTTTGAAATGAGCCGCCCAATGTTCGCGCGCGGGATGTTTGTCCATGTTGCATATCAATCTTCCCCGGTGAAACCATTTCTGACAGGTGTGAATTCGTCCAACCACGGCTGATCCAATGTTTGCACGTAAGAGCACCACTTGCACCACTTGGGTCGCGTGAGAAGTGCGAGGGTCGCCTGGGTCAGGGAGAACGACAAGAGGAAGCTGGATGAGTATGAAAAGCTGGTGCTAGAGGAGTGCTACACATCGCATGTGTGCTACACATCGCATGTGTGCTACACATCGCATGTGGGCTGCTTGTGACTTGTGTCATGATCGGTTGTTTGGTGCTCACACGGGGCCTCCAGAGATTTCTCCGGTCAGAGGTCTGTTGAGCTGAAGCGTGACATGTTCCAGTCTCTTCTATTATCCCTTGACTCGTCGATGTTCATGGTGCACTTTGGCAGGAGCAACAGCAATTGGTCTTGATCTTAGTTACAGGATCTTGGAGATTGCAACCATCAACCAGCCTTAATGAGGCAGTGCGGCAACTAGTACTGTAACATACTGTAACTAGTTTGGAATTCTCCCATTCGTGATTTGGGACCTCATTCACTGAGGACTGTGCGTTCGTTGAACACCCTCAGGTAATAGTCCCTGCACGCGTGATATCGGTGGAATGTTACCATGCTTGGAGTTGCAAAAGCTATTCGGAACACCCAGGGCCACCCGTTTGATGGGGCAAGCCCGCCGATCTCCCACGCTGGACCCATCCTCCATGTTTACCCTGACCAGCTGAGAAAGCTGAGAACCCTCCGGAGACCTCCTGTTCTCTCCGAGGAAGAGTTACGGAAGCAGCTGGCACGGGAACAGGCCGCCGGCTCGTGACGCTCCGGGGCTTTGGCCGACGTGGCGCCCCCAGCGGACGACGCTCCGCTCACGTGACGATCATAGACTATCATCGACCACAGCTGGCCGGATCGACCACTCCTCACATCCACTCCTCGCGGGGCTTCGGGTCGACCTGGTCCTTGGAATCGACCTGGGAGCCTCATGCCGCGTCGACCGCGTGTCTTGTGCCAGGAGCTTCGTGAACAAGCGCAACTCACCGTGCGGCGCCCAGTCGTGTCTTGAGGGGTGTGAGAGGGTGGGGGGCGCCAGGGCGCCAGCGGCCATGAGTCCCAATAGAACGCCACTGGAGCAACTGTGAGTGAATGTTCTTCGCAGTGGTGTTTGGGCATTTGGAAGCCCTGCGAGGGCTTCACAGGAACTGATGTGGCTTGGTCTTGCGTCAGAAGCTGCTTTGCGCGCGCCACCTTGGCTTCAGTGTTTGACCTGAAGGCTTCTGTCGTCTCACCCCCAGCTGACTCGTCCAGACGCGGCCCCCGCGCGCAGATCCAAAACATGAAGGAAGATTACGAAGCGAAGTTGGCCGAGGGCCCAACCCGTCGGGCGGGCGACTGGATGGGCCAACCTGAAGGCTGCAAACAGGGCGTTTTTGTTTTTTTTTTTGTTGAGGAGTTCTAAGGGAGAGATGTGATGTGGAGCTGGTGGCTCAAGGTGGGAGGTTCAGTGCTAGAAAGGGATGCAGAGGGGCTCAGCAGCTCCAGAAACATAAGGGAGGAGACCTGAGAACATGAAGCAGTGGTGCAACGGCTAACGGGCCATAACAAGCTGCTCTGCAGCATTGTCCATCCTCATCTTTGGACTAGTAGCTGCCATCCTCTTGAAACCTCCTGGAGTGAACTTCACCTTCTCTTCATGATTCCCTTCAGTGCCACGGCTTTCCGTCCCACTCCCACCACCCATTCCCACCATATCCGAAGAGATGGGTCCGATCGGTGGGGGGGGTCGTGCTCGGGCAAACGAACACCGCGCGAGAAGGGGAAGACGTGGAGCTCCCATAGGCGTCGCGGCGTCCCGCGGCAAGACGAGACGTGGCCCATTCTTGTTCCGGCCCGTTCGACGCTTGTTCGGCGAGTGCTGGCTCAAGCAGGATCCGCTTTGGGGGGGGGGAACAGGTGGGTGGAATTGAGGGCCGATGCATCTGCAGGAGATGTCCTGCTCAACATCGGGTGCTTGTTTCCGGCGCTATTTTGATCGATCCAGTGATTCAGGTCAACGCTTGTCATGGAGTCATGGATCTTCAACTAGGTCCACGGAGTGCACTTCACAGAGCGGCGGTTGGGAGGCATAGTTCACCCAAAGACACCCACTAGGCCGCAGATGCGCGCAGGTTCGTGGAGGAGTGGTGGTTCAGATGCCAATTCTATTGCTACCCCAGTGGTAGTGACTGCATTTGGTTTCAACATACCACTGGAGTAGGTGGTATTTGGTTGTTGAACCAATTCTTTCAGACTTTGCTCCCTCTCCTCACCACTGCCACCGGCCAATCGTTCCGCCATTGCGTTACCACGGCGATGGCGGATGTGGACATGGAGGCCGCCGCCGCGCTGGACGCTTGGGTTGGACACAGCTCGAGGGTGGTTCAGGCAGGTCTCCAGGGCGTGTCTCTTGTTTCGTTTAGACGGTGAATCGAGAAAAACGCTCCTCCAGACATGGATTGTAACACCTTTTCGGGCCGGGGTGGTCGAACTTTCATCAACACCGCTAGTTCATGGACGTCCTCCCCACATCTCTCCCTCTTCTTGAGACCACTTGATGTTCTTGGTCGTTTTTTCTCCCCAGGAAGGGTTGGGATAGGGATTGGATAGGGATTGGTCGTTTTGCTTGCTCGAACTTGGACCCGCCAATAAGGACACGTCATCAGTGACCTGCCGGCGGCCCAAACAGCTGTGTTTCGACCCAGGAGTGTGGGAGCGGCATCCCCTCTCAGTCTGTGTGCTTGTTTGATCTATATATAATTGTTAGATTATATGATATACTATATATGGTTTAAATGGCTTCATCGGAGAGATGTGCAACTTGGAAGGCCCAGTACACAGGATTCCCAAGGGGACTTTGACCGTGAAGGGCTTTGGACAAGGTGGGTCACTAAGTGCTTTTTCTACTCACTACTCTATGTCTATGCCAGATGTTTGCTTCAGTCTCCCGAGGCCGAGGGCATGGCGTGGAGCCTTAGGTTTTCATTTCAGCGCTCGACGTGCGCCGTGCTTTTCCTCCGTGCGCGCTCGTTGCATCTTCGGACCTTGGGCATCCAACACCGTGGTTTCTGCGTCAAGTTGACTTCAAGTACGGATGGCCGGGATGTCCTCCCCTTGCTGACATGGGTTGTCATGGGTTTTCATGACATCCCGTTCGACTCGGACGAGGTCTCTCGCGTTCGACCTGAGGCTCCGGTGTGCTTGCGGTGGAATGGGAGCCCAAGGCGGGAGGTCACTAAGGTCAGATGCCGTTTTCGTCCCAAGATGTTGGTTACCACCACCACGACGACGACTACAACAACAACAGCTGCTACTACTACTACTCCTCATACTACCACTACTACTATTACTACCACCACCACCACTGCTACTACGGCTGCTGCTACCGCTAATACAATTCATCATCATCGTCTTCCACTGTTACTGGTCAGGGGGTATGCCCAAGAGATGCCCTTCCGAACCACTAGGACATGGATCAGATAGAAGATGCGGCGACAGGTGGGTGAGCGGCTTTGTAGCGCCTCCCTGGACGGAAGTCTTCGGCTTTGGGACGCCAGCAGCGGCGAATGCCTGGATGAGCACCTGGGCGCTCAGTTTTGGCGCTCATGGTCCCACCAGAATTTTCACGACAGCACACACGCACAAAGATGCACACACACACACACACAAGTGAGTCACGCAGTTTCGACCCGTGAAACGGATCTCCATGAAGAAGTGGCCACTTTGCCCAGTGCCCTGTTCTACTTCCGAGGCTGGAGACCTCGGATCGTGGTTTTGCCAGTGGGGGGTGCCCAGGGGAGAGGCCTATAGCGCCTTTTCTGTTTTATTCTTTTTCTCTCACCCAGGGGAAGTTAAGAAGTTGGCATGTTGCCAGTTGGATGAGGATGGATGAGAAACAAGAATGATTTTACATACTGTAAGACATTTCTTCCGTTTCGCGTGTTCCGGAGAGAAGGTGTGAAGTGGCGACGTGTCGGTGTTGACCGGGGTCGTCCGGAACCATCCACTGTCAGTCTCAGCCGCGGTATTGAGGCTGCCTCACCTGGGCGCCTCATGGTGCTCGATTGGCCAGCGGCTTCCAGGACTGCAGATGTTTTTTTCGGGCGAAAAGAGGGGTGATGGGTGAATGGCGGAAGGAGGGAGAAAAAAACGAAAAGGAGGTGAGGAATGCATGTATTTGAGTTGAATTGGGGTAAAGGAGTCTTATCTCACCTGGTTGGGAGGTGTTAAGCCACCTTACTGATTTCATCCGGGCACCGTGTTGGCAATGGTGGTTGGTTGTTTGAGCATGGGATGACCAAGAACATGTTTCTAACATGCACTTCTTGGACATCGCCAGGAATTCATTGGACACCAAGAAGGGCTTTTGGTCTACTTGAGGCTACCAGCGAGGTACACCAGAAGCCGCTGCCACTCTCCAGACACGGACGAACCCCTCCCCCCGCAGAGTCGGCGGCTGTCGAGTCATGTGGATCTTTGTGTCGCCATGCTGTTTGGGTGTCCTATGGGCTGACAGGATAGTTTCGGATAGTTGGTAACTCTCTAGGGTTATCTAATCAATCTAAAATCATCTTGTCCCAGGCGTCCGAGTCCACCAAACTGCGGGCCCTTCTTCGCCTCCACCGGTCTGGTCGCGAACGTCTCCCCTTTTGGGGGGGGGGGCACCGTAGACTACCCGGTGATCCCCCGTCGGCCGGGTTTGGGGATCGGTCAGGATGGCACGGTCTTGATTTGGCATCCCAGCTCCGCTCTATCGGTGGTGAAGTGCAAAGGTCACACCAACCAGGCGCGGGTGTGGCCGCGCCGGGCGCCGAGTCCGGGCCGTCGCCGGTGTGCATTTGGTGGATTTGCTGGTCATTGGGTGATGGCACCCAACGGAGAGCCCTGAGAAAACGTGAGCAGTTTGGGAAGTAGAACTTCGAACCCCGCAATGAGGATTGGAATTAGAACTTCGAACCCCCCGTTTTTTCGAGTTGGTGTGCCACGGTCGGAAAGAGGCCCCACACCGCCCGAAAAGCCACCACCACATTGCCCGGACGCAAACACTGCTCGCTCTATCCCATATTAAAAAATACGGGTTTCTTCAGTGCCCAGTACTTATAGCTTCAGTTGACTGTGAGTGAATACATTCAGGGGTGGAGACTTTGCCAGAAGCCATTCATCAGCGCGTTTGGAAGGATTCTGGGAACCCTACGCCCCGGCATTTCTCCACCAGGTGCGATGTGTAGCTTGGAGTTCCAAAGGCTGGGAGGTGGAGATGCGGGAGATGCTGGGAGATCAGAGGCTGCAATTGTTGGTTCCTGCAGGAGATGTGTGTGTGTATATATAGGGTCTGTCCTATTACCTGTAACAGTCAGTCAACAACCATTACACTTTTTTGAACAAGGCCTTTACTGACCATCATCATCCACTGTTACACGTAATAGGATAGACCCATTATATATATCTATGTATTACAAGATTACAAGTGTGTATATATATATATATGTATGTATAGATGTGTATGTCACATAGATACATATACATATCCGCGCCCTTTGGGTCCAAGTTTCGATGCTCCTTCACCCTGGAGCCACGGTCATTACGCTCCCCCCGTGTCTCCAGGCAAAGATCGCGTCGCCAGCGGCTCGTTGGATGGGACCATCAGGACGAGCGGATGGGGTGGAGTGCAGGGTGAGGTTGAAACCTGATGTATAGACTCTTGACAAACACCTCCCCTCGCCACATCCTCTTCATGTGAGGGGGCTTGATTCATCAAGAGTGATTACTTCGTACGTCGCGCGGATACACGCGCGCGCGAGCCGCGGTGCGGAGCCGACTCGAGGTTTCTGCTTGGGGCCGCTTGCCAGTGCTTCCATTGTTCTTCCATTCCATTCCACTGGGGCTCTTGGCTATCCTTCACCAGAGGTTCTTTGAGCCCTATTGTTCTTCCCCATGACCCCAAAAAGGTGAGCTGGAGCCATCGGAGTTTCCCAACCCTGACAGCTGGACTCCTTGAGTGTTGGTGCCAAGAATGCCAAAGCCTGCTGGCTCTGAAGCTCCTCGAGTCCGTGATATCTTTCTTGATCGATGTTTTGAGAGATGAGGAGGGCCTTTCACTTCGTGAAATCCCACCGCCTGTTGACAGCACCGTCTCTCTTTCAACAGCAAAAAGGCTGTCATAGGTGCGTCTATGTGCTTATGACCTTTGGTGTTTTGGTGCCATGCTGCCAAGCTTTGTAAGGCACCTCTGAGATTTTTTGCCTCAGGATCTGGGAGCCGCTGAAAGGCTGGGCCTCTTCCTCTGCTGGGAATGGTTTTGAGGGACTCAGGCGGCTGCAGGCCTCCGGTCGTTGACAAGCAGGGAAGAGATTGGAGTTTCTTTGGGCAAAAATCCAAGTCCATCCCATCTGATTCCTTCTTTGCTGGGTGTCGCCCGGTAGCCCTATGGCAGACTTGGGAGCGGGTGGGGGGTGTTTCAGGCGCGGTTTGGGGTCCTTTGTCCCCCACGTTGGGGCGATACCACATATAAGAAGAACCCACGAGCATCATAAAGAGAATATAGAGAGCACAGACAGCAAGCAGACTACCTTCCCAAACCCTGTGTCCATTGGTGTCGGCCGCTGCGACGAGGTAAGTCTCTGACGAAGTGTCAAGGGGATGGCGGCTATGCCTGCAGCTTAGGTAGCTCAGGCAGCCCGGGTTCAGTTTGGACAAGAGCTCTCGAACCACCCATTGCATGTCTTGCCACAGTCAGCGTCAGTCATTCCACATCAGCTAAGTCAAGTAAAACTCGCCGATCCCCGTCATTCCCTGCAAAACCCGCCGCTCTGGATGGGCCCATGAGCCGCGCCCGTGGCCGCTCAGTCACTCCCAGCTGGTGGCTTTTTAAATCTTCTTTACCTCTAGAGGCCTCCAGAGGTTGGAAAACAACTCCAAAAAGCCTGGGGGGAAGGCTTCGAAGGTTTTCATTTTGTCTTCGTTTTGCCCTGCCTGAGGTCTATTGTCTTCTTTGGCATCCGGATGGTGCTCAGCTGGTGGCCGGCAGCACCGACGGCGTAGCTCGCGTGTTCGAGACGCAGAAGGGCCTATGCTTGGTGCCTTCGGCGGCACCTGAGCGGTCCAAGCAGTGCAGAGGTTCCGAGAGCTGCGGAGGTGGATCCTGGATCCATGGTACTTCCGGGATTGAGGCATGATTTTGGGGAAGATTTTGGTTCAACACGAAGGGCAAGGGCCTCCTTCCCCTTCACTTGAGGTCCGAGGTCAGTTTTTTTTCCCCCTTTTTCTGTCAATTCTGGAACATGTTTTGCCCAGACCATCCATATTTATATGGCCAATTTCAATACAATGCAACACGTTGGGTTGCTTGACCTGGGTCCCAGGCACAAATTGCAGGTACAGTTTGATGGGTCCATTGGGTCTATGGGTTGAAGATAAACAGACAAGTTCGGGAGGCAAACTGGACTACAAACAGACAAGTTTGGTCGACTGGTTTCCGAGTCGACGCCACAAACCCGAAGATGTCTTGTAGGTATTGGTATTCCATCTAAACCAAACCTTGGGTCTTGTGCTACCCACTTCTGAAACCACTATTACTGTACTGGGTGAGGCCCCCCCTCTGCAAAACCCGTGATCTTCTTGGGTTTGATCACCCGCTCGCAGCGGGAACCGGAGGAGTTCCGGTCTGGAGGAGTTCCGTTGCGCCGCCAGGTGCGCTGTGAAGGCCACAAGGGCCCCATCTCCTCCATCGCCTGGGGTCCAGGCGCCAGTCCGATCGGACAGAGGTGGATCGGAGGGTGAAGGTTGTGTTTCTTTTTTTGGATATGATGTCCCTAGACTTCCAAGACAAAAAATGGTTGACCTGGGTTAGTTAGTTTTGTTAATGTCAAATCCTTAGTTGATTCGGGATTCAGCCTATTAAATTAATGGTTGTTGGAAGCCTAGGGATTTCTTACTTCACCTCTTCTATGCACCTGAGTTCAAACGTGTGGAATATGGGGGTTGGATCCCTCTTTGCGACGGTGTTTGACCAGTTTATCGGCTCTTGATCTGGGGTTGTCCGAACATGCCGCCCGGAAGGCCACACCCATTTCGCCACCGGCTCCCATGATGGCCAAACCTTAGTTTGGAGCAGCGACACGGGGCAGAAGGCACGCGAAACGACTCAGACGCAACAGACTCGGACTGCTCGGCAGGAGGGCTGATATGGAGTTATATAGTTAGAGTTTCCTTGAATGGTTCCGAACTTTGGTAAATGCCATCAATGGGATATCAGGCGGTTCTCCTTTTACAGCTCTTTTTCGGAGTACGTAAGTAGATGGCGTTTGGGGGGCCCCTACATGTCTTAGACAGATGGGGGCCCCTATAAACCACCAGTCACTTGGACGGTGTGGTGCCATCTGAAAGAACTCCCAGCGGTGCATGCTCAGGTGGCCAGTTGTGGCGCTCCCGACCGGGTCGGGAAGCTTAAAGAAGGCATTTGAGATCGGGGGCGGTTGATGTAGCAGAATGTGCTACAAAACGGGCCAGGTATATACAAAAAGGTTAAACGCATCCAAAACTCACCTTGCAGCCCTTCCGCAAAAGACCCTCGATCGTTTGTCGGCCTAGACGAACCCAGGAAGGTAGGGTGTTGGCCTGGACACCCTTTGGACGTCCTTCGCGGACTGAGCCGGCGGACTGATGCCGGCGGGGCGCCAAACGGGTGACCGAACCCATCTACAGTCCGAGCGTTCGAGCCCTTTTCGAGCCCTTTAGAAGCTACACTCCTGGGTCTGGGGCAGAACCTGGACCTTTGAAAGTCGTCCAACAACGCCAAGAAGCCAATGTCTACGGAATTTTAGAGTACCTGCAACTTGGTACCTGTGCATGGGAGTAATATAGGTTCAAGGAGTTGGAGACATGGAGTTCTCATAAAGTTATGGGAGAAGTATTCACTCCCATACCACTCCCACCCCCATACCACTCCCATACCACTTCCATATCACTCCCATACCACTCCCATTGGTATATGCCTGGTATATACCATGGTATACATAGCCCCCCATAGTGGAGGTACCGTGTAAAGGAGGTTATACATTGACAATGGGACTGTCCACCGATGACGAGGTCTACAGCATCGCGTGGAGGTGGGTGCGCCGGTGCGCAGGGTCTGCCCAACGGCCCACGCCGTTCGGTTCGTCCCCGCGGAGACCGTGGCCAACGCGAAACGGGTGGGGCGGCCCCTGCGAAAAAGTCGGCCTTACCAATGTATATGCTGCATCTTTTTCTGCATTCCCAGTGGCAGCTCCAAGGAATTCGCACCCCTTTTTGCTGATATTCCTCCTGAGTTGATAAAAGACTTCGATTTATGAATCCCAAATCAAGCAGGCATTCATAATATGGCCTGTTTCTAGATCTAAACAATCGCCTGACATCACCTGACACTGTCCTCAATTTGTTGTCGCGTCTTGATAAGTCTGCACCATTGGGATGTCTTAAACTCCGTCCTGTACAGAGTAGCACGCTCTCATTGAACAGACAGGGGGAGGGAGACAGAGATCCAGACAGCATCACCGCTACGAAGAGAGAAAGACTGGGAGAGATCGAGGAGAGCAAACACAGAGAGAAAAAGCAGAAGAAGAAGGAGTAGAAGAACGAGCTGCTGCTGATGAGGAGGAGGAGAAGCACCCTTGTTGGCAAGGAGGGAATTCCTGGCTTGTGGCATCAGTCTAAGTCTTTGCGATTCCTGTGCGATACCCTCCGACTCACGTTCTGTAGATGGCATGGTCCCTTGGACGGCCTCATCCCCTCAATGAACACGGGGGCCCCGTCCCACTTACTGTAGTACATGTACAGTCGGAGGCTTCGACGCATGTACATGTATCACATGTACACATAAAACAATCAACCATCTAAATACTATACAGTTGAGTTGGACCGGCATGTCCGAACCCATCCGAACCCCCCTGGTCCTTCTTGGAGGACCCTCCAATCGCAGCGTCCATCGGGTCGGGTTCCGTTTCGGGTTCCGGTCCGCAGAGCGCGGGGGCGGGTGGAACGGTCCAGGACGGATGCCCAGCGTTCCAGACTAGCGACGGGATCGCATGACGGCACCATTTGCATGTTCGATGCCACTGCAGGCGTCTGCCGCTTGGTCTTATTCAAAATGGCTGAAACACAGGGGAAAAGCAGCTGGAAGCTGGGTGATGACATTGGTTGGAAGATTGGATTGGATTCCTCCGGATGGTGATGGTCGTGGTGGTTCAACATAGGCTGGGGTTGTGTAATTATTGCCACATGTGATATTACCCCGTGGAAAACTCACTTGGACCCTGAAAACTATAGTTTTGTAGAGGACGACAGTGTATTGCCACCTGACTGTGCCAACACCCCCAAACTTTCTCCGGAGATGTCGCTCTTCCACTACTGCATCCAGTTGAGCCCGCAACTCCATGAACCAATCACGAAAGGTAGCTTGAGCTACCTGAGTTCTCCTTGCTTTAGCAAAAATGTATTACAATCAGGAGTTGGGATTGTGCATTGAATTTGGTCCTGTAAGAGTTGATTCTGTTCGGCGGGGGGGGGGGGCCCCCCCCCCCTGGATCAAATCCCCCCTGCGCCGGTTCACGCCGTCGTGGACTTCTACCAGGGTTACTTGTGATTGCCTGCTACCTTTCGTTCACCCCCTCCTCTCTCAAGTGATTTCTGGGTGCGCCGCAAGGAGCGAAAGCCGCTTGCACCTGTTGTCCAACACATCCACATCGACCGATCCGCCGCCGCGCCATCTGTCCGAAACCCTCGGCCGCCTCCAGAAACCCTCGGCTCGGGACGAACCCTCGAGCTCCCCGGGCCTCTTCCCGCCGCGATGTCCACGCCGCGCCGGGACGCCGGCGATGCCGCTGCGGGCGCTGCGGGCCTCTCTGCGGAGGAGGTAGAAGCGCTGCGGCAGATGCACGAGGAGGTGAGTGGCTTGGCAAGGTGCGTGGGCGACCAGTGACGTGCTTCAAGTCTCACTTTTTTAGATCTTATTTTTTTGGTGGTTAGCATATGTTAGCAAGCACATATATATATACCCTACGCAACCAAACCCGATAAATTTGTAGGGTCTCAATCGGAACCTCGGGTATTCTTGTGAAATCAAAAATACCTCAGGTTTGTTCTTAAAACCTCGGGTCTTGCTTTTCTAAACCGTGCTAAACCCATATTTAACCCGTACTAAACCCATATTTAACCCGTACATACCCGTACTAAACCCGTATTTTAATATTGGTTTGGAAAACCTGGGGTTTCCTTCAGAAACCCTAGGTTTTTCCATCGACCCTACAAATTTATAGGGTTTGGGTGCGTAGGGTATATAATATACCTACACTGTGCTCGTTCAGTTTGGTAATGTGCAACCACGACCAACGAACGGACCTGTGGTTCTTCGAACCACTGACCTCCGGAGATAGAGGGAGAATCTCTTCACAAATTGTGGACCACCTCTGGTCTTCTTTTCACGAAAGGTTGCCCTTTAGGGGATACCACCTTGGTAGGATACTCGCTATCCTACCTTTCGTGTCTCCCTCCTCTCAAGTTCCGGATTGGATGATTCTTTTCCCAACCTGGGTGACCTCCGGCTTCGACAGCCACGGTCCTCTGCGGGAAAACCGCACCGAATCCTCCGCGGCCTCGGAGCAGAGAACCGCGGTTCCAGCGGAACCGCGCTCGGCCTGCTCCGGCCTCAGGTCGACAATTGCCAGATCGAAGGAGCGAAGGAGATTCACAGTGGTTGGCCAATGGTGCTCAGGTGGAGCTGCAAGCGGTGCATTCGCCGGTGCACGCGCCAAAGCCCGAACAATTGAGTAGAGCTAGATACTAGACTCTAGAGTCAGAGGTTACTCAGCGCGCATGACTCGAGGTGTGGTTTTGAGGTGGGAGTGTAAGACATGTTTGGTGATGTTCGTTTTGGGACTTGGGAGGATGCTGAGAGGTGACCTTCAACCCCTGCCGGTCCGAAGTCCGCCAGGTGGAGCTGCATAGCCTTCAAAAGGCGCAACAGCTCAATGGTCAGAGGGGCGAGATCGTCGGCTTCGATGATAAGCAGCTCCCTGCCCCAGCTTCGATGATCGTCGGCTTCGATGGTTTGGAAGGTGCCTCATGGGCCTCTTCACCGCTGTCCTTTCCCCCACTTGGTCACATCTGCTTGTGGGTCAAAACCTGGATCCCCAAACCAGGCTAGGTTGACCTCCTTAGTAGTCCATTCTGTTCATTTTCTCTGGTCAACCCAGGTAGCCTGGTTTTGACCCCCACCCCTCTGGGCCCCTTCTTGGATCTGTGTACATGGCAGGTGGCAGGATGACGTGTCGTGAAGTCAGCGGGGACGGATTGAATGGCAGGTGGAAAGCACTGGGAAAGACACGTAGGGCCTAGTAGGGATTCGGGGAGCATATTTTTGGCGTTGTGGCTGCCTCATCGAGGTCTTCAAGAAAAGGGGAGGACGGTTTCGGTGCTTTTCTTGAAAACCGACATGTCCATCTCACTAAGGCTTCGATATCGAGTTCGCCTGCATTCGGACAACTCGGTGAAGGTGGTGGCGAAGAAGAACATGCGTTCCTTGGCCAGTCATCGGCCAAGAGCAAGAGATATACATAAGCCCTGGAAGTCAACGACTATAAAGAAAATGGTCTTTAGGTGGCACGAAAAGGAATGTCCTTTACTTCAGTCAGTCAAAATATAGTCCTTTGGACTTCTAGGGTCAATGCAACTGACCATGGAATCCTCTTCGTCTCGTTAAGATCGAATGCGCAGGTTCATCATCCAGATGTTCTTGGTCACATGAAACTCTCACGCAGTACATTGATGTTTCATGACTCTTCATGTTGAGGGTTCGCATTCTGATACTCTTTCTGTTTATAGGACATGGCTGAAGACCGCAAGCAAGAAACACGCCTGTCCCACCTGGTCGTTCAACGGAGGTGCCACCCTTTTTGGGGGAACCGCCCATGGGACATATGGGACCCGCTTGGAGTGCGCCAGGCTTACTCACCTATGAAGACCTTCAACTCCCGGATGTTCCGGACACCGCGCGCACCGCCGGTCTGGCCACCGCCGGGTCCTCCACCGCGTCTGGAACCCCACCAGCGGCGCCAGTGACGCGGGAGGTGGTGGTGAAGGCCAGGCGTCTGTTGGGGCCGTGGAGGGTTGGGTGTCCATCACCTCCATGGGCTCCATCTATGGGCTCAGGGATCTTTCAAAGCTTACTGTAGATAGATTAGGTCCGATTTGGTGGTTAGATAGAGAAATGCACAAATAAAGAAATGCACACGCACACAGATATATATATATATACACACATACATGTTGAATACATATATACATATATACACAATTATACACATATCACATAGATGCACTTGATGCTTGATACTCACTTATCTCACTACCTACAGGTCACACACACACATATGCTTGGACAGGGAGGGAATCTATTGCTAGTAGCCCCATCCAAGAGGGATGTCTCCGCAAGAAACGAAGAATCATGGACATGTGCGTGGTGATGGGGCATGTCCACATGGTCATCTGGACTTTTTAAGTGGGCACGAAGTATGAAAAGAGCTGTTGCGGGGGACCACATACATGGAACCATTCTGAGGCCTGAAGTTGGGCACTACAAGCTTCCAAATGTTGGAAAACGCCCTTGGGGCACGACGGTCCTGTGCAAACATGGGGACTTTCCCCTTCCATGTTGAGAAAACCTTTCACATCCTTTAACTAATTCGTCGTCCCACTAAGGTCCAATAGGTGGACGCTGGTTGACCAGCTACGCCGTTGATGGACCCTTTGTTCGGAAATGGCTCGAGTAATGAATGTGACAAAATCGTCGTTCCATGTCAGCACCATGGTGTGAACTCCATGCCAGAAATGCGGAGCCAGAGACTGTTGAAAACATGGTCTGACGAACGGGGACCTGATTTCAGACTTCTAAGGTATGCATGCATCTATCTATTTGTCTGTCTGTCTGTCTACCTAGCTACCTAGCTACCTATATATATATATATACACATACCTACAATGCATATATATACCTGTTTGTTGATTCCCTGTTTTTCTCCTACACCACGTCAGCACCATGGTGTTTTCCCTCGCTGAACGAGGCCATCGACCGGGTGAAGCGCGACGTCCTGGCGCTGCAGCAGCGCATCGCGGTGCGGCGCGCGGGGGGCACCGCGGAAGCCACGCCGGACATGTCGGACATCTTCATGAGGTTGACCGCCTCAGAAGAGATGTGTAAGGAGGTCATGGAGATGTACCAGAGAGACTTGGAGGATTTTTCTTCAGAGACATGTGCAAGTTGGAGACATGGGTTTTGGAGTAGTTAGGGCGTTTGGCGGGAAGAGGATGAGACTTCATTGTGCCTAATCAGCCTGTTGGGGGCAAAGGAGAAGAAGCACTTGGCCGAGTTAGGTATGGGGCATTTGTTTCTTTTTGGCCTTCTTCTGGGTTGTTCAAGTGAAGAAGGCCGCTGGACGGTTCATCCGGAAGCCTGTGGTTTGTGACAGTCCTCACCCAGCATGGAAGCTGGCAAAGGGAGGAAGAACCTCCTTTACCGAGCAGTTTTTCTCTCTTGATGTGAGAAATTCTTGATAATCTCACCACTCTTTGTGATAGGATTGCAAATGATGTCCGGGCCCAGCGCAACCTGCGGCAGTCCGCAGCAAACGGACGGAAGACTTCAGAAATTCTAGGGAGCCTGGCGGGAGCCTAGAGAAAGCAACGCCGTTGGGCGTGTCCCATTGCCTGTAACAGTCGGTCAAACATGATCACTATTTTGTGACTGGGCCTTGGTAATGGGATACACCAACAGCCATTCACTTGTGTCACTTGTGCTGGCAAGGAAGCCATGGGAGAGATGAAGAGCTGGACCTTCACGCAGCAACAGCGCTGGAAGCAAGCAACCTGGCTGTCAGGAGCCATTTCTGTCCAACCTCAAGTCTTGTTGCCACGAGAAACGCCCGGCGCACGATTGTTTGTGCATGCAGAAACCCTCAAGAGTACGGACATACAATACTTGATCAAACTAGTGGTACGCATTCTGCATAGTTGCTTACAGACCAACTTATGAGTGCAGAAGCACCTGGTAGGGCCATTAAAGCAGGGAATGTTTTTAGTGCAGAGGTAGGTCTAGGATTTCCACCCGTTGCCTGCAAAATGCCTGTCGCCTGCTGAGGTGAAGCTTGCGTTCAGGAGTACACCGAAGTGAGATCTTGGCAAGAGTACTTCCAGGATGAAGTGAATGTCACCAAGTACAATGTTCAAAAGCACGGAAACTAGGTCCTTGTCGAAGTACATTTTTGTTTCGTTGCTTTTCATTGGTGGTTCTCACTGCGACAGCATGGCAAACAACTGACGACAGCAGCTGACAGGTATCCTGGGCACTCTCAAGAACGAGGTTGTGGACTGACGTTGGCCAGAGCACGTTTTTTGATGCTTGCTTTCGGTGCGGCCTGCCCATCCCCTGTCCATTTTTTGTGGCAAAACTGAAAGGACCCTTTCCTAGGGTGTAGCCCATTATCAGAAACAGTCGGCAACCGATTATCATATACTAAATCACGGTTACTGGTACTTGGATATACCCAACCTCCACCAGTTTCTTTTTTCCAGAGGACCCACCAGGCATATTGAGAATTGGACAAAATCTAGGGTTTGGGTCGGCCCCCATGGTTGGGTTCAGAATGGAAAGAGGCTGGAGGCTATCTCCCCTAACCGTCCCCCAATAGGTCCCTCGGTAGCCAGAGATTTTGTCCATCACAATATGCCTTTTGTATCTATATGCGTATATATATATATATGTAGTTATTGTATTTTTTGTCTAATTACTATATATCCTCCCCTAATGACATCGGCGCTTGCTTGTGTGCGTGTGTGTGTGCCCCTTGTAGTCACAGGGATTCTTTTGAATTGTTTTCGTTTACTTCAGCAGGGGGGCGCAGCAGATGCAAGGGACTGCGCCTAACAAAGCTACCTTGCATCTGGGAAGCAGAGCCTGATCAGCTCTGTGTACCTGCTTGATTTTTAACATTTGCCGAGAAGTGTCGTCAAGTGCTAGTGAGTTCTGCAGATGTGCACGGACCGCCGTCATCTTGTTCGACCCGTGATCGTCGATTGGTTTCTTCCGCTTTGGGCCATTTCTCCTTTTGAAGACCTCCAGGATCCGTGGTTCTTACTTGTACTCTTAGGAAATGGTATCCTAGGCCGGCGTGTGGCACCGCTGTCAGTCCGTACGCATATCCATAAGTGTGTCTCTCCTAGTGAGAGTCCGGGATGAGCCCGTAGAGTGCCTTCTGTGGACCCGTCGAACGGGTGTCTGTCTCTGTTTCCAATGCCGTGGAAACGCACGTGCCCAGAGCGGGCGCAGGAGGCTTATGCCAAAGTTATTTGCCAAGACTTGTCGGATTATTGAATTCCAAGTTGGCTCATGCCTTTACGTGACCGCAGCGGTCTAAGCTGGCTTAACGCCCCAACGTGGTCAGAGCGACCAAAGTACTTTTGAGGTTCGTTGGAACCTGTCCCACTCTCGGGTGCACACACAGCGCTTACATTCAAACGAGGCAGGTCCCTAGGTGCTTCTAATGAGGTTTGGTTTCATCGGTTCTCGTCCCCTCCATTTGGTTCCCCTTTCATCCCTTCCCCTTCACACACTTTTGTTTCCTCTTTTCTTTCATGTCCTCCTGTCTTCATGTCTGGTCGTCTCATCCTTTTCTTCGTTTGCGCGCACATGGGTCCCGGCCTTAGTGTGCACGTGCACTTCTACCTACATTTTTAACACAGGTTTCAGGTCGCGCAGGTCTTTACAGTGAGGTGGGCTTCATCGGGTGTCCCTGTGCACTTGGTTCCCCTTTCATTTCAACCACGCGCACCTTTGTCCCGTCTCGTCCTCCTGTCATGTCTTCATTCTTTTGTCTCTTGTGCGCGCACACGTGCACATTTGCCCTCACCTTAGCTTTTCGCCTCCCCTTGGGGAGGCGTGTGTGTCTGTGTGTGCCCCTTGTAGTCACAGGGATTCTTTTGAATTGTTTTCGTTTACTTCAGCAGGGGGGCGCAGCAGATCCAAGGGACTGCGCCTAACAAAGCTACCTTGCATCTGGGAAACAGAGCCTGATCAGCTCTGTGTACCTGCTTGATTTTTAACATTTGCCGAGAAGTGTCGTCAAGTGCTAGTGAGTTCTGCAGATGTGCACGGACCGCCGTCATCTTGTTCGACCCGTGATCGTCGATTGGTTTCTTCCGCTTTGGGCCATTTCTCCTTTTGAAGACCTCCAGGATCCGGGGTTCTTACTTGTACTCTTAGGAAGTGGTATCCTAGGCCGGCGTGTGGCACCGCTGTCAGTCCGTACGCATATCCATAAGTGAGTGTGGCCCTTTGCCAGTAACAGTTGGTAAAAGATGATCACGCTTATTTTGTGAGAAAGGCCTGTAACCAGGCCGCATCATCCTCCACTGGGCCCTGGGAGCTTGGGATATACCGGCCCTCCATCCAACGACTCTGTTTGTTTCCCATCCTGCTCAGGTGGAGGTGGGTCAGGATGTCCGCGATCTGGGTCAGAGTGCCACGGAGGTCATCGGCACACATGCGCCCCAGGTGCCTCACCTGGTGCGAAAGGCCACAGGTGCCCGGGGGGCAAACGGGGTCAGTGGTGAAGATGATGGGGTGGAGGTACTGAAATGGAGTGGTAGATGCATGAAGAGATGTTCAGGAACATGAGTGACATGAGAACATGCAGAACATGTAGCTACTTGCGGCTGCGTTTTTTTCAAACATAAAACAGGGTGCCTTTCTAACTGAGCTGTGGACATGACGTGGATTCATCATCTTGGTGGTGTCAGATCGTAATCAGATCAGTGGCCCTGTATCCAGGTACTGTGAGCGAAGCTGTGCAGAGTGGAACGGCTGCAGCCACATCCACAGGGCGCAGTTTTGCCGCGCGAAGCCAGGAGCACATCACCAATGTGGTCCATGAATCAGTGACCAAGCTATTCCTGGTATGCTGACCAGGTGGTGGGTTACTGATGTGATCCCCAGGTGAAGGTCCCCCACCCTGCCACCTCCCCCCCTTAAGATCCCTTAAGGGATGGATGGACCGTCGGGATGTTCAGGTCATCAGAGGTCTCAGGCCGAGCAGTGGACCGGTATGTCCGGAAGCCCATGAAGCCAACCCTTCAGGATGTCAGCCCCAAAAGGTGACATTGACATGTTGGACGCATTGGCCCTGTGGAGATGGCCGTTTTTCCCGTTGCCTGGGGGCCTGCACAAAGGCAGGAGGGGGTGTCTTGATTCCTGGAAGGTGCGGGGTTCTTTAACCCATCGCACGTGGGTTGAAGTCTCAAAGGGGAAAAGAGAGTTGTAGCTACATGTGTTGAGGGAATGGCAGGGAGCAGCAGCAGCAGCAGGGTTCCTCTTTGAGGACTTCCGAGCCCAGGTCCTTCGCCAAGTCTGCTAAGTGGGCTAAGCCCATTCAAGTGCTTTATTGAACTGCATGGTGGGCCAGACATGAGCTGCATATGTGCTCATGTGACAACAACTCATGTCCTTTGAGGCTTCGCCTTCGATCCAATACGATGTCTTGTTCCCACCGTGCCGGGTGCAGTTGGATCCAGCACCGATTCGGTGCACCGCGGAACGACGTGCGCTGGGCTTCGAACGATTTCGCCCCGCGGAACGACGGCGCTCGATCCGGCGCCCTTTCTGGCGCCCTTTCTTTTTCGACTCGAACGTTGAAACACGCCCCAGGTCGTCGCGCCGGTGAAGCGTGCGTGGCATTTCTTGGTCTTCGGCTTTCTCCTGTGCTTTTTGGTGCCACTCTTTGCGCTGAGGACGCGCTGGGAGGGTGGCGAAGAGTGATTTCTTCAGTAGCTAGAGCCCAGACTTTGACAGGGGCGATACAAATATATAATCATGAGAGAGATGTTGGTTGGCTGGCTGGCTGGCTGGTCGGTCGGTCGGTCGGTCGGTTGGTTGGTTGGTTGGTTGTCCAAGATGGAGGTCACTGATCATGGGCAAAACTTCTGAACATTTGCGGAACGTGTGTTGGACAGAGTTTTCACTGTCCCAGCCCCTAATTACAGTGCTCAGGGCGGCTGCGAGAGAGGTGAGATAGAGAGAGAGAGAGAGAGTGAGTGAGTGAGTGAGTGAGTGAGAGAGAGAGAGAGAGTGAGTGAGTGAGTGAGTGGGTGAGCGAGTGAGTGAGTTTGTTTCTACCAAGGTGACGCTCATTTCGGCCTGTTGAATCCTCCACTGTATTTTCAGTCTTCTGAAAGCTTGAAACGGACTCCTAAAAATTGTCAATTACATGTTATAACAAGACTTCTTTGAGACCTTGGTGTAATTCCCAACGCTCAACCAAGACAGGCCCGCAGATGGTGGGGGTTCATAAGCTAGCAGTCGATGCTGTTCTTCTGCTCAGCCAGGCGCAGCCACACCTTGGACAGCTTTAGTCAGCCACCCTTGGACAGCTTTAGTCAGCCACCCTTGGACAGCTTTAGTCAGCCACACCTTGGACAAGTCAGCCACAGCCACACCTTGGACAAGTCAGCCACACCTTGGACAGATTCCGGTGGAAGGAAACCATCCAAGCTTCCCCCACCAGGACGTACGCTCCATTCAACACCGTCGTCTCCAACATGGGCGTGCTTTGGTTGGCGGTCTGCACCTGCTGCCCGCCCAGAGGAATGCATCGGAGAGCAGCGAAAGCGGCTTTGATCCTTTTGTCTTCCGGGCTGACTTACTGTAATGTTTTTTTTCTAACTTTATTTGTCTCCATCGTTCGCGAAATCTGCGGGGGTTCGATAGGTCAGGGGTCAATTCTTTTTTTCTTCTCCTCTCCTTCTCGGATGCGAAAAATCCGCGGGGGGGGTGCAAATGTTATAGGTGTTTCCCACAAACCATGGACCGACTGATTGGGGAAGACTAGTTGGACCTACAGAGAAATGACAGATTTGGGTGTGTCGAAGTTAGTTGATTGGCGTGGTGCACAGAAAAGACGTTTTGTTTGATGAATCTGATCACAACCATTCCCTTGGCAGTTTTTGCGCAGCTGATGACGGCTGCCTCTTGCAAGGTATCCCTTGGTGACCGTCGCCCTGCCATTGGGCCTTCATTACTGGGCCACCCACCCGCAGTTCGCAGAGGACGTGAGCAGTGCTTTGCGACAGCTGCCCTCGGCTGTGACACGGACAGTGCAGTCCGTGCGCCCGAACCACTGCGACGCCCCGCCCGAGCCCAAGGTTCTCCCGGCGGCTCCAGCTGCAGCGCCCGCAGCTCCGGCTCCAGTGCCGCCCGCGGCAGCGGCCGAGAGGAAAGAGGTAGAAGAGGATACAGATCGCAACCCGAAACCGGGCTTCCTGCGATGGTTGACCACCCTCTTCCACCGCTTCCACCCAAAGCCTAGGCAAACGGCCTTCGTGCCGGCCGTGGGGTATACAGGCCAATGGGCAACCATACAGCACCCACGGCCTCGGCGACTCAGAAGGAACACGATTTTCGAGCATGAATCGAGGGGGAACGGCATTGGGCAATAGCTCAGTGCAAGCGTGTGACCCTTGGATTGTGCTTTCAGTCAGTCCTCCTAGGCACCTTGACACCCCGCATTTTGTATGCCAAGTGCCTAGTTTCACCGCACTTTACAGCTGTGCGCCGGTGAGCACTCAGTTCGTGCTGATGAGAGAGACTCGCGGATGTCGAAAAGGCAGAAAAGAACAGCTCCGCCATCAACTGACTGGCGCGACTCGTAGGGAATGAGGGAATGGACCCTAAGGAATCTCTGTTGGGTGGTCATTCCCTCATTCCCTACGAGTCGCACCAGTCAGAAAAACATCAGTTTGATCCCATGTCACTCCAGCCCTTTCCTTTTGAACACTTGTGGGTCGCGGCGAGACTCGAGACCGAGGGAGCTGGTGGTTTCGGGTTCGCCAGCGCCCCCTTTGGTGAACGTCTCCCCCCGCGGTGTTTGCGCCGAGCTCATGAGATGCAGCGTCAGACAAGTCTCCCCAAGGAGGAGTTGTCCCAGTCAATGCTTTCCAATCCTCCATCATCATACACGATTCGCGCCGAGAAAGGCACTCACCACGTCGGACTCCCTGTTGAGTCAACGCGAAGCCTGGTGTACTCGAGACGGTGAGCCACGGTGAGCCACGGTTTTTCGGGGACGTTCGTCCCAGTGGACTGATGATCAGCATACGTTACGAGGGTCTGTGGATCAGCGTCAGGACGTGCTCCTGCGCATCCCGGCTCTGGTGTCCTGTCTGGACTTTCCAGACAGGATGCTCCTGGCAGATGCCATTCCCTTTCTTCCCTCTCTAGCTCGTGCGTTTCACATGAGGAGTCGTCCGTTGTTTAGCCGCTCTCGAGCGTTTCCGCTGGGGGGGTGAAGGATGGCCGGAACAGGCACACCCACATGGCCGCAACCGACTGAACGCCAGAACGTACCAGGACCCATCCTGTCTGGCTGTGCAGTCAAGGTCTCACCGGGTGGGGTCGAGCTTCGGCCCGGCCAGGAGGGCGGTGGGATCCGACTGAGGCACTGCCAAGTGGGAGGCTCACCTAGGTGCAGTGTGGGGAGCCCGAGGGTGAGTGGAGGTGAACCACTGGCCGGGCCTAGGGTGGCTTGGCGAGATCTCGAGATCTTTCATTTCTTTGAAGTCCCCACACTTCGAGTCCTCAAGATCCTGCAGCCTCCGTGGCTGGACAGTCCTTTTTCAGATGGCTGGAAACGATAGGGATGAGGACTTCTTTTTGTGGTATGAGGCTCCGATCTCATGCGGGTGTATATGATCTGGCGTTGGGGGTGCTTGACACAGACTCGGAGCAAATTAGACCGCCCTTCCACCAGAATAGGGGATCAGTATCTCTTGAAGGTAGGGGGGTCACTGACTCAGCTTTCATGATTTCCAGGGTCGGGTCGTGTGCGAAGCTAAAAACTAGAGATCTAGGACTAGGATCAACCTCAGACTCAGATCCTCAACAAACCCAGTGACACTGGTTGGCCGGACTACGATGGCATCAGACACAGATGACCGATCATCACTTCAGCTCTCAGGTACCGAACCACCTGAGAATCATACCTATATAGTATATACATCCTAATGCCTAATACATGCTAATACATCCCTAATACACACCTATATAACACATCCTATATAGCACATCCTAATGCATCCTAATACCAGGAACAGTCCGGTAAAGATGATCATTTCTTTGGGGGAGACAAGTCTTTAACCATCCGCTGGGCCCCGGGCTTGGAATCCTCCGACCCCCCAATCGATACATCGACCACGAGCCGCCCGAGATATACCGACCTTCAGATCTCGGGCCTTCAAAGGATTCACCAATGGAAGCCCCAGCCCACTACTTAGGGATCTCCATTTTTGCCACCCCACAATGAAGGTCCAGGTGTATCCTTCAGACCAGCAGAGCGAAGCAAAGAGGATTCAACTGGAAGTGACACTCGGATCATGGGCCAACGTGGACGTCCTGTATGCTCATCCGCGTCTGCTCGGCTGAGCATGAGGAGTCCTTCCGTTTCGACCCCACAGGTGAACTCACTCACTCCACGAAACCCATGAGGAATCCCAGGGATGGACCGACGCGTCCATTACCACTGTCAAAGACGGAGGGCGGAAGGAGCGGAAGGAGCGGAAGGAGCGGAAGGAGCGCAAGGAGCGCAAGGAGCGGAAGGAGCGGAAGGAGCGGAACTGAACATGGTTGATGTGGATGGTACCATGCTTCGTTGGCAACCCGTGCCAACGTGTGGGAGATGTTGCCAACGTGTGGGGATGTGTGGGGCGATGTGATCGGGATGTGTACGAGGCAGAGGGACCTTGAGAGGGCACTCTCTGGCCATCTAATGTGGACTCTTGATTGATAGACCCTTTAATATCTATGAAGGGGTTTTTCAATGCATGTCTGCGGGGAGGTGTTCATTAATCAAGAGTCTACTTATATCATTATCCACTCTGAACTTGCTACGCAGCAAGGTCTTGCCAACGTTTGGTGTCGCCTGAACGCAGGTTTGGTGCCTCCAGATCCGGCGTCCAAATGATTTGCACATCGAGCCTCAAACTACAAACTTCATTCGCAGATCAGAAGACCATTTAACAGTGCGCGGCAGAACATTGAGGGAGATGTTGTGGCGGGTGTACAAGCGAAACTGCCATCAACAAACCATCTGTGTTGTTGGCACCAAGTCCAAACTCTAAACTAAACAAACCTAGATGCACAGTGCCTAGATGCACAGTGCTTCAAATATTTCACCTGCAGAGCAGGACACCTCTAAGATTGAGGAGTTTAAGCCTCTGATGGCTGGACAGAAGGAGGCGAACGAGCAGGGGTACGCACAGCAGAGCATCGCAGCACAGGCCGGCAGAGGTGAACGAGGACAGAACGATGCGCCTTTGGTGTGTTGCGGCCATGCCAGGTCATCTAGAACCCCCAAGACACGGACCCCCAAGACATGGGGGGGTTTGGTTAAGCAAGAATCAATCTACATAGATGATCAAGACAATCCACTGCCAAACGGCCGTGGCTGACTCGTGTCCGCAAGTCGCGCTAGATATACAATATATAAATATACAAATATATAATATATATACTACTAGAAGTCCAAAGACTGACTATCTTTGGCACCGCCATTTTAAACATAGTCTTTGACGTTCAGGGTGTACACACACACACATATATATATATATGAGAGAGAGAGAGAGATATATATATATATACACACCATGGTGGCAGCGTCCAAGGCTCACCTGAAGTGACCGTCCTGGAAGCCGCTTCCCCAGGCTCTCATTAGCCTGGAGTCTGGAGACTGCCCCTCTCTTGGCCTCCTGTGGCGAGGAGAGGAAGCCGATCGAGCGAAGGGGGCCGGCCAGTCCAACCCCCCCCGAATAAGGCATGGGAGGTCAACCAGTTGAATCGATCGGTTCAAGGGAACATCTCTAGGAGACCGCATTTCACCCCCTATTAGGACATCCTATGACCACGGAGGATCTTCTTCGTCAAGCCTGTACTGCCCTTTAAGCTCCCTCCACTCTGCAATGGGCTAAAGCAAACCCCAACGACCTGTCTTGGACCAAAGTCTCTTGTCCAGCTTTCAACTCAAATCTCGAGTCCATTTCGAGTCCATTTCGATCATCTCCTAAATCTCGAACCACTTCGAACCAGTCTTCGAACCAGTCTTCGAACCAGTCACCGCTTCGAACCAGTCTTGGAACCAACCACCCCAAACATCTCAGTCACCGCGCTTACTCGCCCCTCGCGGATGGAGGAAGCCGCCGGAGTCCGGGAGTCGGGAAGCCGTCCGCCTCGGTAGGACGGCACGGTGCGCATTTGGGAGGCGCCGAACGGCGAGAACGGCGAGAACGACCGGGGGAACGACGGAGGGGGTCGTCGGTGTCGGTGTGGGAGGTGGTTGTTCTTTCCCTTCCGTGTTCCGAACATCGACCGAGCTGAGCTCAGGTTACCCTCAGCAAAACCCCTCCAAGACCCTCAGCGGTACTACCTCAAATATGCAAAAGATTGAGTCAATTTTCATTTTGCGGATGATTTGTGCGGGGGGGAGAAGCCATAGAAGGGCTGGATGTTTATTCAACCCTCCAACAGTTTTTTTCAACCCTAACCTTTTTTTTCAACCCTCCAAGACGCTTTTTCAACCCTGGGTTGGAAAAAAATGTAACCCCTACTAAAACAACCCATGGTCCTTATATTCCAACCTTTTTTTTCACCCTGGAAACATATTTTTTCCACCCTTGAACCTTTTTTTCCAACCCATAAACATGCTATTTCAACCCTATGACACGCTATTCTAACCCTAGGTCGCACCGTGGGGGGCTGGCCCTTCAGTCCTAGGATGTAGACGCCTTCGTCGGAAGCTCGAATGATTCGGCCGCCCTATTCTGCTATCGCTGCTGGTCTTTCTCCACCGTCTTCCTTTTGCTTTGGCCTTGCTGGCTGGCTGCTGCCAACCTCTGCCTGCAGCTTCCGCTGCTGCCGCTGGTGCTGCTGCTTACTGCTTTGCTGTGCTGCAGCCGCTGCTGCTACCGCTGCTGCCGCCGCCGCTGTTGCCGCTGTTTGTGCCGGCGCTTCCTTTTTGCTTAGCTGTTGCTGCTCTGCTGGTTTGGATGCGCGCTCGTGCTCAGAAAGAGTCGGCAGCGCACGCAACATCGCCGCTCCGGGCGACATGTTCCCAGAACAAAAATGCTTGGTCAATGGCCACAACAGACCGAGCCCTCTGAAATCCCGAATATCATGGCTACTATGCACGCCCCCTACACCCAGGCCCCCCCTGTTGAAACCTATGTTCAGACATTAGTAAGGCCTAAGCAGGCTTCAAACCTCAGTTTCTACTCGGCAGGCGCTCAGCACAGCATGGAACTCTTACTGGGATGCTGTTCTCCTTCAGTGAGGTTTTGGTCTTGTTTCGGTCCTTTGCTAAGACCTCGGTCTTGTTTTCTTGTTAAGACCTCCATTGGCCAGCGTACATGAACATGTCGTGAAACTGTGCTTGTCTGGCAGTGGCTGCTGGCTCTGGCTAGCCACAGTAAACATACAAGCAAACAAGTTCGTCCAGATTTGCTAGCAAAGTTGCAGTGCAGTGCATAGTTCACACCTTGGAACATTAGACTCTATATATAGGGTTTAACTTGACTCACCCTTTTGTGGGCAAGGCAGGGGTAAAATTTAGAGAAGGATGTTGCTCTTCCAAGTTGACTC